GATTGTTGTAAGGTGACCGTTGACGCGAGGTTGATTGAATTATCTACGATTTTCAGACCTTTACATTGAAGTTTAGAAAAGTTTTGACCTCAGGGTTGACAATGAAAGAATTTGAACAGATTTGCCTAAGTTTTGACCTGGACATCGGTGATTTACAATGTTTGTCGGAAAACTCACGTTTTGACCCTCAAAGACTGCGAGTGAGGGCACGTGAGAATGGGTTCTGGGGTAAACCCCTAGAATAAATAAAGATCTATGCGTTAGCTTTCCAACAAAAAAAGTTTGCTCAAATCGGATCACCGAGTCAAAAGTTATGGCCAAAACAGTGCGGTGTCGCAGAAAAACTCTAATTTTGAGTTTTTGAGGAAAATCTTCGAGGTTGAGGTTTTCGATGTTGAATTTCGAGAGCAGGTGAATTTAAACAAAATTCTAAGGCAAAAACTCGAAATCCAAATCTGGAGATTTTAATTTCGAGTTTGCCTTGAAGAGTAATGACGAAATCCACCTGCAAAACAGACCTCAAGAATAACGAAATCTTAAGAATTTCAAAATGTTTGGAACCTCGAAAACTTTGGAGTTTCGAAAAATCTCATAATCTCGAAAACTTGCTGTTTGAAAAACATCAGAACATCGAAAACTCCTGAAACATTTATATAAGCAGGGAATCATTCAGAGATCCTTATAATGTAAAGCTTCGATGAACTGCAAAGGATGTCAAGATTCGAATTATGAGTTCCAAGAAACTGCAAACTTTGAAAGATTCAAAACATCGAGAAATTCCGAAAATTCTGAAATTTTTTAGAATGTCGAAATCCAAAACATCGAGTTCCTAAAACTCGAAATAAATTCCAAAACTCGCTATTCCAAAACTCTCAAATTTTTAAAAACTCGAGGTTTAAAACTCGAGTTCATGACCGAGAGTTTACAAACTCGAGTTCATGACCGCGAGTTTACAAACTCGAGTTCATGACCGCGAGTTTACAAACTCGAGTTAATGACCGCGAGTTTACAAACTCGAGTTCATGACCGCGAGTTTACAAACTCGAGTTCATGACCGCGAGTTTACAAACTCTCGTTCATGACCGCGAGTTTACAAACTCTCGGTTTTAAAAACTGTCGAATTTTGAGAATCTGAAAACTGTTCTGAATAGCCCTGAAGGTCGCGATCCCTCCTGTATCTGTTTCAAGTCAAAATCGTTTCTGCAGGCATATAAAAGCATAAACTCGAGTTTCCAAGGAGAGTTTTTCTAAAATGAAAAATTGCAGAAAACGAAAAAGAAGATATGCTGTAGAATCGGTTTTGAGAGGCGATTCCAACAGTATAATTTTTACAGATTTTCGTTCACAAACAAGATTACAGGAGCAAAACTCTATATGAAGAAAAAGAGAAGAAAAGCAGAGCATTCTTCATTAGATCCAAGAAAATCGCAGATACATTCAACCTGTTTCACGCCTCGGCTCTGATACCAAATGTTAGTCCCAGAATACTTAACAAACAACAAATATAGCAGTTATAGAAGAAGCAGATAGAAAGATATGTAGATATTATACGCGAATCTGGTATACCGTATGAAAACCGGCCGCTGCTCTCCCTGGAGAAGGAGAGCAGCGGCAAACCTAAACTCTCTCTATCTTTACGCCTTTGCGTCTCTAAGCCTCTATCAATCGTTTGGGTTCCCGTAAGTTAGCCTCCTTTTATAGGAGAAGTTGGCTAACTTACGGGTTACAAGGAAGCCCACGGGCTGATACACATTTGTGGCCCGTATTACACGATTAATTGATAACTACACAAATACAAAGATAACTAACTAGATTGAACACCATAAAATATTCCCAACAATGAGGTTTCTAAAACAGTAACTACAAGAATTACCTAAATCATAGTATTAGAAGTACATTTTTTAGAAATAATTCCAAATCTATAAACAAAATAAAAGTGGTGGACAAAAATGCGATTCTAGTAACTTTAGTGCGTGTTTATAATTTTATTCAAATATTATATCGTAGTGACTATAAAACTTACCCATGATAACTTATAGTCATATCTATGTCCATATTTTTTTATTAGTAATTTTTTACGGAAAAAATTCTTATTTTCATTATGTTACTTGTATACATCACTGTTCTTAAATTTAGATGTTGGATGCTGGTGGGGTATGATTATTGAATTTTTGGAAGTTAAATGTTTTTGTTATTCATATTTAGAATTTACTATCGAGACAGGACTTAATCTTTTGATGTTGATGTGGTAAAAGATTCATAATTTTGAATCTAGACATATATGATTTGTGAATATTAGGTTCAAATGATTGTACTCCCTCCGCTCCTAAATAAACTTCACACTTTCCTTTTTGGGTAGGTCCAAAATAAACTTCACACTGCTTCTCCCTTCCTTATTTGGCAAATTATTTACATCAAAACAGTGCAAAATAGTGCCAAACAGGGTCAAACAGTGTCCAACAGTGTACTCTACAGTAAAGTCAAATTTATTTCCTTAATTTGTGTGAAGTCAAAGTGTGATTTTATTTAGGACCGGAGGGAGTATTTTTTTGTAATGTTTTATAAACTTTATATGTGGTGCTATTTAATTTTGATTTTTTTAATTTAGGTGGTCAATTATAAGTAGTTAATCATCATTTTAGAATTTATACTGATTTTGAAGGAAAAAAATTTATCTTTTAATAAAACGGTTACCCGCGGGGAAACCGTTACCCGCGGGGAAAACCGTTACCCGCGGATAAAAAATACCCGACGGGTAACGGGGCGGTTTCGGGGGAAAATATTATCAAACGGGCGGGTACGGATAATGGTATACCCGACCCCGAACCGCCCCGTTGCCATCCCTACTCCTGGCTGGGTTGGAAGGCAGGCTTCCCACTGGGCTGGAGACAGGCTGCTGACCGGGCTGGAAGACAGGTTGTTGACCGGGCGGGAAGGCATGCCGTCTTGGGCTTCCGCTCCTTGATGGGCCTGATCGGTTGGGCCGGCTCGAGCCCTTGGTCGCTCGGCTTGTGCCTGCTGGTCCAAGTTCGGGGCCTGTGCCGATTAGGCTCTGGGCCTGGTGCTATAACTCCATCACGTGAGTACCAATTGAGCATACATAAATTTTAAAATGAGCATTATTATGAAAATCATAAGTTTTTTTTAGTTGAATGAGCATCAAGACATTTTCATTGACCATCAAACCTCTGTTGAAGAAAATGAGCGAAAATTAAGAAGCAATGAAGAAGTGAAAACAACAAAAGAAAGTGAAAAGCAACAAAAAAGAAAAAAGAAAACAAAAAAGAAAGAGGAGCAAAGCCAACCAACGAGAAAATGGCCGCGGAAAAAGAAAAGCAGCGGTAAGCATTAACCTAATTCTTACCATTTAAATTGGATCTAATTACAAAAATGTCGACTGTACCATGTCCATGGTACATCCGATTGTACGGTACATTTTGCCTAGGGTAAATTGGAAGTTTTGGTCGGGTTCAATGGATTATTTGACCCCTTAAGCTGTCACGTCAGATACATAGTTAGCACCTTACCGGATGACGTGTCAGTGACAAGATCATGACATGCAAAAAGTGAAATTTGAATGTTTTGCTCGAGTTTAAGATGTCAATTGAAGATTTTTCGAGTTCAGATGATAAATTGAACATTACGAAACAGTACATGGGCCATTGACTCTTTAGCTTTTAAAAGTCTATATATTGAATACACTAAGACCTTTGTAGACTTTTTTTAAAAAGTATACATTGAATACATCTAAACGTTTACAATCCATGCATTTTTTAAAATTTGTCACTAATTCATATACAATACACTCCTATTATTTTGATTGTTTCATACTCCCCCGTCTCTTAAAATTTGTTAAGTTTGACTAGCACAAAAGTAATAAAACAAAAACTTTGTGATTGAAATTTGTGTAGAGCAACAAGAATTAATAAAAATCACAAACTTTTTAATTAAACAGAAAAGTCACAAAATTAATGAAACGATTTAAAAAGGAATATTATCTAAGTTTCAATGCAAAGAGTGATTTAGAAGCTATTCTCTTCACCTGATTTGAATTTTTTAATTCTGATCTTATCTGAATTTTCTGATCTGATCTGAATCCTTCTGATCTGATTTGAACTTTTTAGATCTGATCTGATTTGAATTTTCTAAAATTATAATTATAATTATTATAATTATAATTATTATAATTATAATGTTGGGATATTGGGCCGGAGGCCCAACACCCGGCCCAAAGACCATTGAGGACCCCAGAAGGACAACGGATCCATGAAGAACTGTTTCCCGAACGGAAACCGGGGGTCAACAAGAGTTCACGTCGAAATATCCCGAACGGGAAACGGGTCAAGTAGTATACTCGGATCAGATTAACAACACCAGCCAGGATCAACATACCGCTGCCCGAACGGGCAATCTGCAAGTGACAAGGTGCATTAAATGCTAGAGTATGGCGTCAGCAAGTGAGAGCATGAGTATCCAAGTGGCTTGAATACAACAGCCAGTCGGGTTCAACCACGTCATCACCCCACCTTCCCCATTTTTAGTGTAAATAGATGCATTAATCTCATTGTAAAGAGTTATCATTTTGATACTTAGAGCCTTAGCATAAATTACTCACTCTTGTTCTTGTATTAGCTACTGTTCCGACATACCGTTCGAACAATTCAACTGTAATCATCAAGTTACTTTAATACGAGTGGGCTTTTGAGTAATATCATTGAGTTTTTATATTTTCTTTTACCCTCGAATTAATAAGCACGTCCTTAATATCCAAAGCGTGTGTTGACCTTTCGTATCTACGAGACTTAACCTCAACAAACAACAATAATAATTATAATAGTAATAATAATAATAGTAACAATAATTATCATTATAAGTATTATAATTATTATAAAAATAAAATAAATAAATCATATGTTTTTTTGATATGATTTGAATTTTCTGACGTGATCTAATGTGAATAAAATAAAATTAAGTACCACCATGTACATTTTTTTGATTAAAAAGAGTTGCTCATGAATCTGCTTCCTCAATTCTCAATTCACCAGGCCGTAGTCGGCCGTAAAATCGCCGGCCACCGTTGCACTTCAATTCAGTGATCGCTACTCATCAGTCATCAACACCACGCTTTCCCTTTGAACTTCATCGTTTATATCAGAAGCATTCATATACAGGATGGCTCCGAAGAAAAAGCAACAGAGGCATATATCTTCATCATCCAAAGAAAAGGTTCCTTCTTCATCTGGTCCAAAGCTGCAGATATCATATGAGAACGAGAACCGGCTGCGGAGATTGTTACTGAACTCCGGCCGGTCCTGGGCTCGAGCTCCAGTTGACGTTTCACTCTCCAAGGCCCAGAAGGAAAAAAAGCTTCGCACCATTTACGAGAAGCTCTCATGCGAAGGATTCAATGATGATCAAATAGAACGAGCACTCTCCGCTCTTAAGGTGCAGTTCTCATTTCCCCAGGTTTACATTAGAAATAGAAAGATGTAGAAAATTTTACATCTTTAGAATGTTTTAAAACTTTTCAGAGAATCAGAAGTTTAAAACTCTCTAGAGAATATTGTGGAATGATCTAGAATATTTTAAGAATGTGTGGAAGCAGGGGCGGAGCTAGAGCGCTGGGCTGGATTAGGCCGGTACAAAGAATATTTTGGAAAAAATTTTACACGGAATTTTTACACTAAAAGTATAGACATTTTTTAAATTTGGGCTGGGTTGGGTCCTAGGTTGCCCCCTAGCTACGCCCTAGTGTGGAACCTATCTAAACTTTAAAAATATAGAAGCTGTAGAAGGGAAGAGACGTGTAGAGTCCCCTTGGAGTTCTGTAGGATATGAAGATAAACGTAGAGAATTATTCTCCACCATTTATTGTGAAAGTGTAGTAGTATAAATAGGAGAAACAACCTTCATTCCTAACCATCCAAGCCAAGTGAAAAGTCACTCCCTAGAGTGAGAAAGTAGATAATGAGTGTCTCTTTGAGAGAGAAGAAAGATAGTTGGGAAGACTCCATCCTAGAGTGAATCAATTTTGTAAATACATCATTGTAATCTCACTATTCTTTTGTATAGTAGAAAATCTCGACATTGTAGAATCATACTCGTGTGCTCTCATTACTAATTTTTAAATGCGTATCTTAACATCACGAATCGGGAAAGTCCGAGTTTTCCCAAATGTAGAATTAGAGTCAGGTTCACCCGAGACCGTAATTAGCTCGTGCAGTTCAAAATGGAGGATACCGTTGCATATGATGGCATGCCCCGACCATGTGCCTCAATCTTATCTCAGCTGAGAAGTTAGACAATGGCGTTCCAATAAATTTCTTTGGTGAAGGAAAGTGGAAACTCACCAAAAGAAGTCTAGTCATGGCTCGAGGAAAGAAGGAAGAATGATTGTACATGATGCAACATAAACTCGACAAACGAGAGATAAACATAACCATTGATGACATGGAGGTATGACATAAATGACTTGGCCACATCAATGAGAAGGATCTCCACATTCTTGCTCGAAAGCAACTCCTCTCGGACGTGAAAGGTAAACCACTTGATCATTGTGCTCAATGTTTAGCTAGAAAACAACATAGGGTTGCTTTCCAAAGATTTTCTCTGCCCACAAGAAGAAAGAATACTCTCAACCTTGTACACACCGATGTATGCTCAATGTCCAAGAGATCCATTGGTGGTGCATTTACTTTGTCACCTGCATTGATGACCATTCAAGGAAGGTGTGGTTGCACTTGTTAAGATTAAAGGATCAAATGCTTGGCACCTTTAAGGAATTCCACTCTCTAGTAGAACGTGAGACTGGACGGAAGATCAAGTGTGTAAGATTTGACAATGGAGGTGAGTATAGAGGTTCCTTTAAAACCTTTTGCAAGATATATGGTATTAGGCTAGAGAAGTCTCCACCTAAGACATCACAATTGATTGGGCTAGCCGAGAGAATCAACAGAACAATTGGAGAAAGAATTCGCTCTATGCTCTCTCGTGCTAAGTTACCCAAGTCCTTTCAGGGAGAAGCTATAATGGCCGTCGTTGACATTGTCAACTTCACACATCAGTTCTTTTGGATGGTGCCATCCCAGAAGAAGTTTTGATGAGTAAAGGAGCTTCATACAATCATGAATCATCTCAAGGTGTTCGGGTGCAAGGTTGTCCTCATCCCCAAAGATTAACAAACTAAGTTTGACGCAAAGACGAAGGAGTGTATCTACCTTCGCTCATCCAAGGACAAATTCAGCCACCATTTATGAGATCCGATCAATAGGGTCTGTAACAGAGAAGTGGTATTCTTCAAAGATCAAAGAATCAAAGATATTAAATATTCAGAAAAATTAAGATTGAGAAGATTGAGAAGCAGGAAGAGCACCAAACTTGCTACAATTCCACATGATGATAATGAATCACCTCAAACTAATGATGCTAAGACCATGTGCATGTATTAGAGCAAAACAACTAGGAGGCTCATGATGAACCAACTTAGAGAGATCCTCAATCTAACTCTTTGCCAACACCAAAGGCGAGATGTTCCTCTAGGAAAAGAAGATCATCCACTCGGTATAACACCGAGGAGTACATTGTACTCACAAATGAGGGGGAGCCGCAGAGCTATATAGAAGTAATAAATGATATTCACAAAAAGGAGTGGAGAAGAGCCATGCAAGAAAAGATGCAATCCTTGCATGAGAATCACACTTATGAACTCATAGAGTTGTATAAAAGGAGAAAAGTCTTGAAGAATTTGTGGATGTATAAAATCAGAATTGAAGATAGTATCTCAAAGTCTCATTATAAAGCTTGATTGGTCGTCAAAGATTTTGGTCAAGTAAAAGACACTTTTAAAAAAATTCTCTTCTGTGGTAAAGATGTTATCCATCCAAGTTGTCCTTGGCTTAGTAGCAGCGCAAGATTCGGAGATTGAATAACTCGATGTCAAGATAACGTTCTTTCATGGTGATCTAGAGGAAGAGGTCTACATGGTCCACATGGAGCAGCTCGAAGGGTTGAAGGTCCTGGGCAAAGAGAACATATTATGTTGCCTCATGAAGAGTTTATATGGCCTTAAACAAGTACCGAGACAATGGTACAAGAAGTTTGACACTTTCATGGTAGAGTATGATTTCAAAAAGATGAAGAGTGATAATCGTGTCTTTATAAAGAGGTATGTAAGTGACGACTATCTCATACTTATACTCTATGTCGATGATAGATTGTTGGAGAAGATCGCGTAAAATAGCTACTTTGAAGAAAGATCGAAGCAAAAGTTTAACCATGAAAGGTTTGGGACCGGTTAAAAAATCATTGGGATGAGTTAACTTGTGATAAATCAAAAAGACTGTTGTGGCTATCCCAAGAGAGGTACATAGAGAAGTTGGAACGGTTCAACATGGACAAACCAAAATGCGGTTAACAAACCACTTGCTGGACAGTTCATGTTGAGTTTGAAGTAAAATCCCACAAATGAGAAAGAAATAGAAGAAATGAAGAAGATTCCATATTCATCAGTAGTAGACAGCCTCATGTATGCAATGATATGCACAAGACCAGATATCGCCTATGCAGTTGGAGTCGTGAACTGCTTCTTGACCAACCTTGAGAATGTACATTAGCTTATTGTCAAATGGGTCCTCCGATATTTACATGGTGCTTCCAAAAGATGCTTACATTATGGGAAAGAGAAACCTGCGTTAGAAGGATACACAAATCTATAGTTGGTCGGTGATATTGAATCATTGATTCAAGGAAGTCTACATTTAGATACCTAACTATTTTTGTCATCTGAGTTGTTTCATGGCAATCAAAGCTGTAAAAGTGTGTTGCATTATCCACCATAGAGGCAGAGTATATCGGAGCTACTGAAGCTTGCAAAGAAATGTTGTGGATGAGGAACATGTTACTCGAGCCGTGAATCGATCAAGAAAGGCTGTCAAAGTGCGATAATTAAAGTGCAATTTACTTGGTGAGGAACTAAACATTTCATTTCCGCCCAAAGCACATTGACACAAGGTATCATTGGATTCATGAAGTCCTCAAGGAAAAGAAATTACATCTTGACATGGTTCACACAGACTAGAAATGGTTAGATATGATGACCAAAGTAATACCGACAAAGAAGTTTGAAGATTGTTGTCAAGGTGCCGGTTTGCTATTACCGCCAATTAACTCGAGAGGGAGAGATTTTTTGAGATCCTTCCTTAATTGGAGAGGTTCCATAAAATTCTAGATCTTTCTTGAGAAGTGTAGAATTTTCTAGAGAAGTGTAGAACTCTCTAGAAGATTGTGGATTAGAGTGGAATTCTCTAGAGTATTCTGGAGATGTGTGGAACCTTCCAAAACTTTACGAAAGAGTATAGAAGGATATGGAAGGGAATAAAGAGGTGTAGAGACTCCCCGGAGTTCTCTGGAATATGAAGACATGTGTAGAGAATTTATAGAACTATTCTCCAACATTCATTGTGGATTTGTGGAAGTGGAGCAGCATAAATAGGAGTAAGAGTTTCGTTCCTAACCATCCAAGCCAACTGAGAAGTTACTTCTTAGAGTAAGAAAGTAGATAGCGAGAGAGCCTCTTTGAGAGAGGAGAGATAACTTGGGAAGATTCCATCCTCCTGCTTGAGTGAGCCACGATAGAGTGAGTCAATTTTGTAAATACATTCTTGTAATCTTACTATTCGTTTGTATAGTGAAAGAATCTCGATATTGGAGAATTATGCTCGTGTGTCCTCATTATTACCTTTAATTCTTAAGTGCCTATCTTAACAATTCGAAGCGGGAAAGTCCGAGTTTTCCCAACAATGAGTTATGACACTGAATACATTTATTAGTCTCAAAATATTGCATTGTAAATATTTTATTTATTGATTTATTTAGACAAAGTTCCGCTAGAAATCCAAACTTCATTTTTCTGTGTAACTTTATTTATGCCACATAGACTGATTTCAATGACAACAACAAAACAACAACAACATCCAAGCCTTAATCCCAAAAGAATTTGGGGTCGGCTAACATGAATCGATCTAAGATATCGATGCCAAAAAGAGAAGGCGGACAAGAAAAGGAAAAAAAGTAAGATAAAATGAATAAAATAAAGATACATAAATATAAGATAACAATAACACAAGAATATAACCAAGATAAAAGAAAAATAAATAAAAGAGCATAAAAAAGCTAGAAGACTGATTTCAATGACATCGTAACTTAATCTGACACACAACTTCAATTAGTGGCTCTTATTGTTCTACTTTATATTTCTACTTTATTGAATGTATTGATGATGATCATTCTGTCTCTGTTTTTGTGCCTTAGTCAGTAAACTTTTTGAATGATTGATTTTTCATACTATAGCTTCAATTACAAATTGAATGTTATCTTGTTTTATTTGTACTGAGAAGGATGTTGCAACACTTGAGGCTGCTCTAGATTGGCTATGTTTGAATTTGTCTGGGGATGAGCTCCCAAAGAAGTTTTCTAGTGACACTTTGCACTTAAATGAAGGTACGATGCAACAGTCTTGCTTTTGGATTTGTTGCATTGGATCTATTTGAAAGAATGGCTTTAAAGCACATTTAATGCATACCATAACAGGTTCTGTTGGCATCATTTCAAATGTAAGAGAAGATTGGGTTCCCTCCACAGAATCATCAGCTGCAGGAGCAAGGGATGAAATAATGGATGTGATCACGAAACAACGAAGGGATGATGAAACTATTGATTCTGTTGAGCGAGCTCAAGCAGATTGGATCCGCCGGTATATGAGAGAACAAGAGGTATCCTTATTGGTATAACTTGGCATGATAAAATACATGAAACTTGGATGTTAAAGACATAATAGATAGTAGCTACTTTATTTAATTATGTCTCACATTGTTTTTGTTGGATATTAGTCATTCCATTATAACATGTAGGATGAGTCTGAACCTGAATCGGACCTGATTGATGGCACTTCTTCAAAGCAGGTACTTGTCACTGAACATCTTATGTAGTCATGAATAATGATGACTTTGGGGGTCATTATGTCATTATTATTCATCATGTTATTGGATATTGAACCAAGGTTATGGTGGCATCTCTTCATTGGATTATTTTATTCGACAATGCAAGTGCGGAAATGTTATATTTTATGACAGAATTATTCCTTTCATTCTTTGTACGGCATATATAATGTCTTTCGTTGATAGTGCTGTACTCATCATTGAACACTCTGTTAGTTTGTTGCTCCAAGAGTCCAAGACTAGGATTCTGGCTCCAGATCTTGAATCCAATTTACTTGCTTTGGTTTAATTTTTTTATAAAATTCTATTATCATTTGAAACCCTAGATGGTCTTGCATTCTATATATTTTTGGAAGCATTTTCTCTCGTATATAATATTATGGAACAAACATTTATTTGAGATTTTGCTATCAGTCTCGCAACTATATATATTGCTCTTTGTGTCCATAGTCTAGGCGTAGCCATGAAACTATAGTCAGAGAGTTTCATGCTGCAAGGCTGGAAGCTATACATGCAAAAGAGACCGGTGACAAGAAAGGACAAGAGCAAGCAAGCAGAGTTATATGCAAAATCAAGCAGGAGTTGTCTGCCCTAGGTAGTAAGTTCTGCCTATCACAATCTTATTTTGGTATATCCTTTTAGCTGTTTACTTAGTCTGGTGAACTTCAATCAGGATTGTCAGATGATGTCCTTGAATCTGGATATGAAAGTTCTCACCAGGATATGCAGAGACTGACTTGCTCTTCCATTCCTTGTGAGAACTTGGAAGGAGATGCTGTTACTTTACAAAATGCAGAAGGTTGCGGAACTCCTACTCTTAATGAGTGGGAGTTCAATATTGGTAAAGAAGTGGTTAAGTTATCTGCTGAAAATGACTCTGCAAGTGTCTCCTTACCTGAGAAGACTGAATCAGAAGGAGAAACAGCTGATGAGGAACTTGGTAATTTTCTATTTGAAGAGGATTCAGCTGTTTTGCCTGCTGAAGTTTTGGATCTGCAAAGAAAGGAGAAATTGAGAGAACTATTATCTGATAAAAATTTAGAGAAGCTAGAAGGTGTATGGAAGAAGGTAGTAGCTGCCGAGTACAATACTCTGATGACACTGTTATTCTAATACTTCATAAAAAGACTGAACATAAAGTAGGTGGTGCACTGATGCATGATTATTTTTAGCTCAATACCAAACTACACGTTATCTACTCTCTTTTCTTTATTTTTGTTGTTGTTGTTGTAGTGTGTTTTTATATGTCGGTGTATAACGGACTCCCAACTCCCAACTTCAACCTTTGTCCTTATAACAGGTGCCAAAGCAATTAACCTATTATTAAACTGCTGCTTACTGACCTTGCGAGTTTTGAAGCATGCATACCTTGTTCAATTTCAAGTCCCTTATTTTATGCATGTTTACGTCTTTCATTATTATGTTTTTGCATTCCTTTTCTCATTCATAATTTTTTTTTATACATAACTACAGGGAGATCCAAGAAAGATTCCAAAGGCTTTTCTACATCAGCTTTGTCAGAAATCAGGATGGGATGCACCAAAATATACAAAAGTACTTGATAAGAGAAATTGGTCTTGTTACACCGTAAGTATATTGCGCAAAGCAAGTGGAAGGGGTAAAAGCAGAAAAGCTGGGGGGCTTATGACAGTTGAGCTTCCAGAACAGGATCAGATATCGGGTAATGCTGAGGTACTAAGCCTAATCACATATTTCTTTAATACTAAGACTAAGCCCATAATTAAAATGATCTGTTAATGAAAGTATAAAGAGATACCTTAACTCTAGAAGAAACATAAAACTCCACCCGTCCCCAAATGCTCTCCCTGTTTTCCTTTGTTGGCCGTATCATTAATGTCTTCCCATTTCCCTTAGAGGAAATAATTGTTTTGTTTGGTCATATTTACTTCTGTTCTGATAAATCTTTGCAGGTACTATTTCTGCAGTCAACTGAGCTTTAATCTTAATATCTTATTTTATATATCAAACTTTTATCATATTCGAATTTAGTTTTAGTGCTCTAACAAAACTTTTAATATAGTTTCTAGTTTTCTACATATTTATGTTTTAACTATTAACTCTAATTTATATATTGTCAGGGATGTATTAGCTTTAGTTAACCTTTGTAAACCGAAACGGCAAGATTTATCCGGGACGGAGGGACTAAGTGAGTAGAATAATTAGGGATGTAAGGTTGAAAAAAGGCCTTTTGGCCTCAATATTACTAAAATGAGGACAAAAGACAAAAATGTGATCTCTTTTATAATTTTCCAAAAATGTGACCAACATCACAATGTGACAATGTGACTCCGACAACAGTGACTCTGGTGCAGTGACTCCGGCTTAGCGAATCTGGCATAGTGACTCCGGCAACAGTGACTCCGGCACAGTGACTACGATACATTCACTACGACACAGTGACTCCGGCACGGTGACTCCGGCGCAGAGCCTTCCGGCCACCGTGACCACCGCCTTCCAGCAAAAATTCAGTGACCACCGCCATCCAACCTGTGACCACCGCCATCCAACCTGTGACCACCGCCAAACCACCGTCTTTCCGCCGGTGACCATCACTTCCCAGCACCACCCCTCATCAGCCTCAACACCACTGTTACTACCCCGACCACTCACTAACCCCCGCACCACCGTACTGCCCCACTCCCACACCCTGTCACTATACCACCCACGCCCCACCTCCCTCCTCACCCAACATCGCCGCCTTACTACCCTCAAGTCTAACCATAGTCGCTAGCCCAACGTCGACCCCACTATCCAGTCCTAACCCTAGCTGCCTTCTCCATTAGACACCAGAAACTCACCCGATGCCGCCACTGACTCGCCACCACCCCGCCCCCAACATATCTTCATCGCCACCAACATCCATCGTCGGGGAATCGATGAAGAAGACGATCAATTTGTAGATCTAAAATTTCGTCACAGATCCACATTTAGGCAAAGGTGGTTTGTGCACAACAAAGAAAGGAGAAGAAGAGATTTTGGTGGCGTAGAGTAAGGTGTGGTGGCACGTATGATGGAGGAGGAAGGAAAAGAGGACGGTGGAGATTTTTGCAGATTCGCAGGAGAGGCTGCAGGGGAGAAGTCTGCAGGGAGAGAGCGTGCTGGATGCGCAGGCAGAAGCCAAAGGGGTTTTCATTTAAAATCGATCACTTTTTTGTCCAGCTGTATCCAGATCATATTTTTGTCAATTCAAAAGCTATTAGTATTACTTTAGCCATTTTTTCTTGAAAAAATACTATAAATAGGTTAGAGTGATACAAAAGAATAGGGACTGAGTAGTTTTTGTTGTGTGAAAAAATGCAAAAGGGTCCTCATACCAAACCTATTGATCGGTGTTTCTCTTTGGCAAGAAAAAAACCTATGGACATAAAACCTAGAATTTGTGTTATGTTTCTCTTTCAATGTTGATACATTTATTTCACTTCGGTTTTAGGATGCACAGAATAAGGTGGCAGCTTATGCTCTCTATCAGTTGTTTCCAGATCTCCCTGTTCACTTGCCAATCACAGAGCCATATGCGTCAATTGTCCTCCACTGGAAAGCAGGTGATATTCTCGCATGTTGTTTTACTTTTAGTTGCAATAGTTTATTCTTTGATCTTTCAAGTGCATTGTGTTAAAGATGGATAGTGGGCAGAGGACACAATCTCTATTGTTGCAATAATCTTCATATACTTTTCTGCAGTGTTGTTCTTGTTGTGTGATATTCCAATTAAAATCTTCCCTTCTGTAAAAAAATTCCAGGTGAATGTTTGGCCAATATAGTAGAAGATCAAGAAGAACGTAGAGACTGTTTTATCAATTTATTATTGGATGCCAATGAGACGGGTACCATTGCTCCTTTAAGTGTTACTGATAATTCAACTGAGGATATGATGCACAAGCCTCAAGCTACAGAAGATCAAACTACTATCTGTAATTTCAAAATTAAAAGTATGTCCAGTGGACTGACATTTTTATGTTATTGGGGAAACACCTGGTTTATTCTATGCCACCCACTTTTTAATTTCAGTCACTATTACTGTTTTCTTGAGTTTTGACAGTATTTCAAAACTTGGTAAACGCTTATATTTTCTCAGTACTTGGAGTAATTAGTGTATTTGAAAAATCAAATATTGGTCAAAATAAATTAGTGATCATGAAGAAGAAAACTACAGCTAGCTCATATGAAGTGCAGTATATCAGCATATCAGTGGCCGATATGCATCATACTGTGGCCTGCGAGTGCACAGCGAAGCTGAACTTTTCTAATGATCTCATTCTCTTAATTCATTAATTCACTGTACGACTTTTAGGGGTTATCATTACATATTATAGAATGTAAGAATGTCTATGTATTCCCAAATTACCTGCAAGGTAACCTGGATGTCTGAAATTGGATTACCTCTACAAGATTGTGTATGCATTCACATGAGGGGTTTTGTTTTAATGTCTTTCTTAGCACATCTTTTTGCAATAATGCAGAGCCAGATCTGAGAAAAGATTCAGAAAGTGTTTATTTGAAGCAAGAGCAAGAGAATAAGAAGAAAATGAAGAAGTACCAGGTAAGAATTTTTTCGATTCATCGACAATAAAAATTGGGGATATGAGGTTAGGATTTAGGACAACTTTAAAGAACTAACATGAGTCTACAACTAAACCCATCTTATTGTTGACACTTGATCATCCATAGTGTAAATTGAGTGCTTTATTTGCATCTTCTTGAAAAGTGTTGAAAGAATAAAGATAGAATAATAATGAGAAGAGAATGAAGATGAAGAGAAGGATTTTCTGTGTATTTCATTAGAGGGTTAATGGGGATATATATATTACAAAGATGGAATATTCCTATATAAGATGCTATACAATGATAATGTCTAGAGTATATTCCTAAAGCATATTCTAGAGCATATTCATAATGCATATTCGTAGATACAATAATACTTTCACACTCCCCCTCAAGTTGGAGCATAGATATTTATCATGCACAACTTGTTACGTAAGTAATCAACTCGAATCCCATTTAGAGCTTTAATGAATAAATCTCCAAGTTGTTCTACAGTCTTCACATATCCGGTAGAGATTAATCCTTTTTGTATCTTCTCTCGAATAAAATGGCAATCAACCTCAATATGCTTTGTTCTCTCATGAAATACGGGGTTGTTTGCTATGTGTATAGCAGCTTGGTTATCGCATCACAACTGAGCAGGCATTGGTGTCTTCAATCCAATTTCATTCAATAAATGGTGTATCCATATTATCTCACATGCGGATTGTGCCATAGCTCGATATTCTGATTCAGCACTAGAATGAGAAACCACATTCTGATTCTTACTCTTCCAGGATACAAGATTACCACCAACAAAGACACAATAGCCAGATGTAGATCTTCGATCATCTTTAGAACCAATCCAATCAGCATCTGCAAAGCATTCTATTCTCATGTGATCATGGTTTTGATAAACAATACCTGGTCCTGGTGCTCCCTTTAAGTAACATAATATGTGTTCTACAGCAGCCCAATGATCAATGGTCGGTGATGACATGTATTGACTCACTACACTCACAGAGTAAGCAATATCTGGACGAGTGACTGCGAGATAATTAAGCTTTCCAACCAATCGTCTATATCTTTCTGGGTCTTCAAATGACATGCCTTCTTGAGTGAGTTGCACATTGGGAACCATGGGAGTATTGCTCGGCTTTGATCCCAACTTCCCTGTTTCAGCGAGCAAATCAAGTACATATTTTCGTTGAGATAGAAATATGCCTTTCTTACTCCGTGTTACCTCAATACCCAAGAAGTATTTCAATGAGCCTAGATCTTTTGTTTGGAACTGGCTATTAAGATAATTTTTAAGGGCCAAAATGCTTGCATTATCACTGCATGTAATCACAATATCATCGACATACACCCATGCTTGTCACGGCGTCGCCTAGGCATCGCCTAGTCGCCGACTAGGCGTCCTGGCGCTAGGGACTGCTCACCAGCTTCACTCGCCTCGCCAGATGAAGAGTAGTCGTGAATGGCGTCGTCTAGGCGTCGTCTAGGCGCTGTTTTGGCGTCGAAGTCCTCGCCTTTTTGGAAAGTCGGACTGCTATGGCGCAGGCCCAGAACACAAAATAAAAATGGATTTAGGCTTTAATTAAAAGCAAGCCCATAGTAATCTTCCTTACCGACGATTCGTTGCCCAAAGTCGTATAGCCAAGCCAAGTCGCAGCCTCGTAGAGTCGTAGGAAGCAGACGAACAACTCCACGAAGAAGACAAAGTCGCAGGTATGGCCCTCCTTGTCCCTCGCTCGCGGAAACAGAGTAGCAGGCGACTCCCTAGTTCCCAGTCCCCGATCTCTTCTTCTTGGCTTCATTTTTTTATTATTTTAATTAATTAAGTTGTGTATTTATATATATAAAGGGTGTATTTTCATCTATCTATCAATATATGTGTATATATACACTTCTATATTACAGAATCAAGATATAATATGATATAATGATATACCCAACCTGTCATCATTTTCATTTTCATTTACCCCAGTGCCGCAAAGGCTCCCACCTACGGTGGGGTAAGGGGGGGTCGGATGTACGCAGTCTTACCCCTATACTAAAGCATAGAGAGACTGTTTCCGGATGACCCATAGTGAAAATCGCGTCCAAAATTGCATGGACTGACTGCTGCTTCATTACAAAGAGGCGCAGACAGTTTAGTGAGCCATTTTGCTTTATTCCATCATAATCTCAAGCCAAAAAATAATGAATCTTTGGCTCCATTGCAAATGATGGAAATATATACCCAACCTGTGAGACTTCTATTTTATTATATGTTCTAAATTATAAAATAATAAACTGTTAAAATAATCATAAAAACTGGTACATACTAATATATACTAGGGAAAATTACGAGAATATTAGTAAAACTCGATCAATTTCCCATAATATGACTAAAAAACTTAATCTACCAAAAGATGACTAAACCTCATCATACATGAGTACCGTTCTCTTAAATTCAAGACAAAATGACATGATTGTCCTCATGTGTCTATCCGCTGTGGTTACTCATTTGAGCATTTATTGCAGAAGAGATCAAAAGGAAACTCTCTCCTTCTACAGCCGTATATCAAAAGAGACGAGCAGTTTTTGAAAATAGAGTTTGAATCAAAAGAAAGAAAGCCATGGCAGAGAATGAGGACGGCGAAGCGGTGGAGACAAAGGAGACTGGAGTTTTTGTGACGACGGAGCAATGGATGTAGTGAAAACGAAGGAGACCACTGCTTCAGTGGTGACAAAGCAGTCGATGCAGTGACAATACCAATTTAAGGCATTATCAGTTTATAAGGGCATTAAAAAACTGCGTAGTGGGCATTATTAAGGCATTTAATTTTTTGAATGAATCAAAAGGGGTAGGAAGTAGAAAGTGAAATGGTTGGGCAATAATTTAGTGTAGAACATGCAAAACTAAGAGATGGGCAGTAAGTTTATGCAGAACATGTAAAAAATAAGAGATGAATAGTAAGTTTATGTAGAACATGTAAAAACTAAGAGATGAGCAGTAAGTTTATGTAGAACATGTAAAAACTAAGAGATGAGCAGTAAGTTTATGTAGAACATGTAAAAACTAAGAAATGAACAGTAAGTTTATGTAGAACATGTAAAAACTAAAAGATGGGCAGTAAGTTTATTATGCAATAATGTTGGTCATTAAACCAATTCAAATGACATCTTAGTTTTGTTAGGCAATAATTAACATGGGTAAGTTAAAAATAAGAGGAGCAGTAAGTTGGTTGATGAGTAACGTAGGCTGGTTAGTGAAATGATAAAAGGGCATTAAGGTGGTTTAGTCGATTAGGGGATGATAAATAAGGATGCATCAACAAAGATGAACATATATAAAAAGATGAACGTATAAAAGAAGAATACAAATTGCAAATAATGAAAGGAGTTACCTTGTATAAGTTAATTCCATATTTTTAGGAGATTCCATTAATATGTCGGTTACAAACTCTAATAACACGGTTACCACTTATTTAATCTATCCCCACCAGCCCGTGAGTGGTTTAGCCACTCCTGAATTTTAGGAGATATAATAGCTCATTCATTAATTGAAAAGAGGGCATTTGAGGAATTAAAATAAAAAAAAAACACGTGCATAGCCCTGAGCATGTGCGGGTAATACATAAGGAATAAAACTTCATTAAGTCATAGATCCGGAAAGACATGGACTTTTGGTCATAGGTCTGGTAATTTTCTCTATATACTACGTATGATATATATTTTGCATAGTTTATTTATATGTATGATTATATATATAATTATATACATAATTATATATATATATATAAATATATAGGCGACTAGTCGCCTAATTGTCGCCTAGGCGGGCGCCTAATCGCCTAGGCGATATGGCAGTTGGCCGGCGCCGCGACTCGACTTACCGCCGTGACAAGTATGCATACACCACAAGCAATGTGATACCTGTTTTCGTTCGTCTGTAAAGGAGAGTGATCTGATTTGCCTTTGATCATTCCAAACTGTTCAATTGACCGACTGAACTTCCCAAACCATGCACGAGGACTCTATTTCAGACCATAAAGAGATTTTCGAAGTCGACAAACTTTACCATACTCCCCCTGAGCAACAAACTCCGGAGGTTGCTCGATGTAAACTTCTTCCTGAAGGTCACCATGCAAGAATGCATTTTTAATGTCCAACTGATGTAAGTGCCAATCATGAGTTGCAGCGAGTGAAATAAGTAACCTGACAGATGTTTATTTAGCAACAGGAGAAAAAGTGTCAGAATAATCAACACCATAGGTTTGAGCATAACCCTTCGCAACTAATCGGGCTTTCAATCGAGCAACAGATCCGTCTGGATTAACATTAAGGCTAAAGGGTCAAATAGGTCCCTGTACTCATATCAATAGCTCAATTGGGTACCCGAACTAAAAAAAGGTCCAATCCAATCCTCCAACTCTTCAAAATCGTTCAATTTTTTCGTTTAGCCGGTAAACTCCCGGTACTCAACTGAGCTATTGATATGAGTACAGGGACCTATTTGACCCTTTAGCCTTTGAAAAAACGAAAAAATTGAACGATTTTGAAGAGTTGGAGGATTGGATTGGACCTTTTTTTAGTTCGGGTACCCAATTGAGCTATTGATATGAGTACAGGGACCTATTTGACCCTTTAGCCTAACATTAACAACAAAGACCCACTTACATCCAATAGACTTCTTCCCTGTAGGCAAGTCTACCAAATCCCAAGTACCATTAAGATCCAAAGCATTCATTTCCTCTACCATGGCATGACGCCATTCAGGATGAGACAAAACTTCTTTAACAGATTTAAGAACATAAATAGAATCGATGGAAGCAATAAAAGAACATGAGGCAGGGGATAACTGACTATACGACACAAATGAAGAAATAGGGCGAGTACAAGACCGTATACCTTTACGTAGTGCTATCGGAAGGTCAAGATCTGATGTAGAGACAAGATCTGAAGATGAAGATGCATGTACTGGTTCAGGACATCAGCTCAAGGATGGACCAATATCAGGATAAGTAATCACAGGGGTCACAGGCGGGGGTGATCTGGTGCTCTGTTTCGACGGGTGTAAACCAAGTGTACTGGCGGTTTGGGGTCGGGAACAGTAACATGTGGAATAACTACAGAAGGTGTAGATTCCGGTATAGTGACAGAGTAAATGAGTATTTCATCATTGTCCCCATGAATATCTGTCTTGGATGATGAAAAATGTGTATTTTCATGAAATGATGCATCAATGGAAACAAGATATCGACATGTACTTGGACAAAAACATCTATACCCCTTCTGAACTCGAGAATAACGCAAGAAAATACATTTTAATGATTTGGGGTCTAACTTTGTAAGATGAGGATTAACGTCTCTAACAAAGCAAGTGCAACCAAATGTTTTAGGTGGGATAGGAAAAAGTTCTTTATTTGGAAATAGGCAGTGATAAGGAGCTTTACCATTTAAAACAGAAGACGGCATACGGTTTATCAAAAAACATGCGGTAGACACGGCATCCGCCTAAAATTGTTTAGGCACATTCATTTGGAATAGAAGAGCTCTTGCAGTTTCTAATAGATGTCGATTCTTTCTTTCGGCGACTCCATTTTGAGGAGGTGTGTCTACGCATGAAGTTTGATGAATAATGCCATTTTGAAGCATAAAGGATTTAAATGGAGCCGAGAGATATTCTTGGGCATTGTCTCCCCTCAACACACGAACATGAACATTAAATTGAGTTTTAATTTCAGCACAAAATGCAGAAAAATGAGTAAATAACTCTGATCGACGTTTCATAAAGTATAACCAGGTCATACGAGAATAATCGTCAACAAATGTAACAAAATATTTGAAACCAGATTTGGACACAACATGACATGCCCCCCAAACATCAGTATGAACCAGATCAAACGGAGCGTTTGCTCGTTTATTAAGTCGAGGACTTAAACTAGTACGATGATGTTTTGCAAATTCACATGACTCACATTGTATAGATGACACCTTATTAAAGTGAGGGTACATTTGCTTTATTAGTTGGAGAGATGGATGTCCTAATCGGTAATGACTTCTAATAGATTTCCAACCCCAAGACAAGAGATACCTTTTGTGATTGATGTATCCAAAATATAAAGACCAGCCGACTCATGTCCTTTACCAATAGTCTGCTTTGTCAACAGATCCTGAAACACATAATATCCAGGAAAAAATGTTACAGAACAATTAAGAGTACGTGTGATTTTACTGATGGAAAGCAGATTAAATGCGAAATTAGGAAGACTCAAAACAGGTGATAATAGTAATGTAGAAGTTGGAACAACAGTACCGGATCCAAGAACAGGTGAGGTAGATCCATCAGCTAAAGTGACACTAGAAGTAGGTAAATATGAATGAAACGATGAGAATAGACTAGGATTACCGGTCATATGATCTGTGGCACCGAGTCAATGACCCATTTTGATGATGATGAAAGAAGACATGTGTTTGAGATACCTGAATTAGCGACTACCGAGATAGGGACAGAGGAATGCTGCAGAGATTCTTGGTAGCTAATAAATTTGGCATACTCGTCGAAAGAAATAGCAATTGATCCATCATATGAACTAGTAGCGGAAGCAACATGAGCAAGCAAATTTCCTTGATTTTTGAACCTCAATTTTCTGCATTCTTTGATAAAGTGTCCGGGCTTCTTGCAATAATGGCATATTACTGCATTGCAGATTGTCCCGTACAAGACATTTTTTTTGTTTTTTTGTAAACAAGATATTAAGTAAACTTACAGCCCTTTCTTCTTAGCACCAGAAACGCAGGTCCATGCAGCTGTCTACGTTCGCAGTTCCAGACTCTTATAAACTTTTACCGTACAAAGAAAGCTTCCAATATTGTGACGAAGTGTACCTGGTATCACTAGAGGACCTTTGGCGAGTCTGGTGATGGTCTCCGGTCAAAGCTCCGGCCAGAAATACGCCCTCACGCGCCGGCGCGTGAGTAGTCTGCGAAAACTTCCGACGGCGCGTGTAGCTCACGCGCGGTGGTTTGGACGTGTGGATTTCGGTTTTCTGGTCGCCGGCGGAAGGCGCACTAGAGTAGGGTGGACGTGAGATAGGCTCTGGACTAAGGTTCTGAAATTTGTCTGCTGATGTTTTGTGCAGGGAGGGTTCCAAATGAGAGGAAGGAGGTTCTGGGATTGGATGTTCTGGGAGAGATTTTGGGAAAACAAAATAATAGTAATAACTCACAGAGAAGCTAAAATTTCTGGACTAATGTTCTGTGTCTCTGATACGATGTTGAAAGAATAAAGATAGAATAATAATGAGAAGAGAATGAAGATGAAGAGAAGGCTTTTCTGTGTATTTCATTAGAGGGTTAATGCCCTATATATATTACAAAGATGGAATATTCTTATATAAGATGCTATACAACAATAATGTCTAGAGTATATTCCTAAAGCATATTCTAGAGCATATTCATAAAGCATATTCCTAGATACAATAATACTTTCACAAAAAGACTGTTTAGGTGCTTTATCTAGATATGAGGTTCCACCATAGGAGGAGTAAACCAAAGTCACTTCAACGCTCACCCTCAGGCCTCAGCCCAACCAAGTTCAAACCATGAAGGTGCACAAATGGGCCAACAGACCTTAAATGGTCATCCTAAATCATGTGTCCGAAACACAATCAAACAACAACCGGGTTTTGCTCTGATACATTGTTAACATCTTAGGTTATATTCTAAAACGTCAACATGATAAGAGGAGTACACCAGAGTCTTATATATTATTTTATTGTTTTGTGCCAACCCAATGTGATACAAATACTTCAAGCAGAATTTCCTAGATCGAGATCAGCCTCATTAAGCAGAATGCACTTTTTACTTTTTGTTACACCCTCCCTGAACTTGAGATATTTTGCTACTTTAAAATTGCACACTCAGATCCATTTTTTACATGATGTTGAGTACTCCAAAAATTCAGGAATGGGGATAGTGTTTGCAGTTCTTTGGTAGTCTCTTTATACAAGAGATGTTGGTCTTCCACCTTAGCATTCAATGCTATTTCAGAGCAGTATTACACTATTGCTGCTTCTAAAGCTGCAATTACTTTCTTCATATGCACTATTGATTAAGATGAATGTATGCACATGTGCATAACTCTTTTGCCTCTAATTGGTTTATAATTTTCCATTTAGGACATGTTGAAATCCAGAGCTTCCCTTCCCATTGCCGAGCTAAAGGATGATATTTTACATTCACTGGAAAAGAATGATATTTTGGTTGTCTGTGGGGAAACAGGATGTGGGAAAACCACTCAGGTTAGAATTTATATGCCTTGTTTTGAAGCTTGACAATGGGTACCCAACCTTGTATTTATTTTTCCCACATCTTTTCTGTGGGGCTTCTTCAGTCAATAAATTTTATGCTGCACTACTTTCTATAAAAAATCTCCGTTTCTCCCCCACACCCCATGGCCCCTAAGCTCAACATTTTTTTTTCAGACTTGAAAGTTTGTGTTTTTTTGCTTCTTTATAATTTTAATTTCCGACTGATGTGTGAAGAGTTAATTTTTTTACTCCGATTTCTGCCTAAGTTGTAGAATTGATGGTGAGATGAGATTGGCACTTGTAGTTGGCACCCTTATGCCGGCCAATCCATAACACTAAATATGGGGTTGAATCAAGGGAGGATGAAGAAGATGATGGGGGCTAGATGATGATGTGGCCTCCACATGCATTTAAGAAACCGAATTCAAGTCTAATCAGATGGGGTCAAAACCTACCAAATGAACTTTTTGAATGTTTCTATTCACTTATTGATTTAATCAGAGATTTTTATGGTTGAGGGGGTGAATTGAACATTTTAGATGATTAGTGGGTCCTATTTGACCCTTCAGCAAAAAAATAATGCTTGAAATTGCCAATTTAAGCTAAAAGGAAAAATGTAAACAAAGTGGATTTATTTATATTATGATCTTCTTAGAACTTCTTGTGCACTATTAACTCCTAGTTTCCCAGGTTCCTCAATTTATATTGGATGACATGATTGAATCAGGATGTGGTGGATATTGTAATATCATTTGCACACAACCTAGGAGAATCGCGGTCAGTATTACATCTTCATGCTAAATCTTTGTTATTTTAGTTTCTGAATTCATACTGGTTTATTGCTTTATGAAATCCTTTGATGGTGAGAGTCCCTTTAAATAGGCAATTTCTGTAGCTGAAAGAGTTGCTGATGAGAGAGTTGAATCATCACTGGGTTCACATGATTCTTTGGTTGGCTATCAAGTTCGCCTTGATAGTGCAAGGTAATGTGACCTGCCAAAGTCCATGCTTGTCAGTACTCAGCAGTTGTTCCGAGCTGAAATCTGTTAGTGGATTGGATGTTACATGTGCTGCTGCTCTTCTAACTCAAACCCTTTGCATCCTAGACCACATATATTTTCTAAGCTCCTTGTGATATTTGGCTGGGACTCATTTACAGATGTCAAGTTTCCTGTTTTACATGCACAAACATGTATTGCTGAGTACTGGCAGTCTGGCAGATGCTCCTGTTCCTGCATTATTACCCATCCCATCGTCAAAATATGAACTACAATAATTTTATATATATATATATATATACATTCTTATTTCTTGCTTTTAGGAATGATAAAACAAAGCTTCTCTTTTGTACAACTGGGATCCTCTTGAGAATGATTGCGGTAAATCTTGCTATCAACAATTTCATTTGAATCTGAGGGATGTGATTATGAACATTATTTAGGCCCACCCTTCTTCCTTTGCAACATAAGTAGAGATTGTTTTTTGGAAATTGAAGTGTTGGTTCATAAGTTTTTGTCTTTGATATGTTATAACTTATAATGCAGGGTAACAAAGATTTGAGTGGTATAAGCCACATCATTGTTGATGAAGTGCATGAACGATCTCTTCTGGTCAGTATTTCCTCCGTCCCGCTAAGATTGTCCCATCTTTTCTTTTTGGCCCGTCCCACTAAAAAAGTTCCATACCAATTTTGAAAAAGTTTATGTGGTTCAAAATCATTCTTACTTTATTCCTATTTTCTCAATTCAATATTAACCACATAAATCCACTTTTCTTAATAACCACACCACCTCCTCATGTCCCAATGTTAGTGGGACGGAGGTAGTAATATATGATCATATGTTAATTTGTTACATGGTATAAGACATTTCCTTTTTATCTGGACAGTTAAACTCCTTTAGTGGTCAAGGATCTCTAGATCAGTTCAAGCAAAAGCCTAATATCTTTTTCTTTTGCATCACAGGGTGATTTTTTGCTTATAGTGTTGCGGAATCTTGTTGAGAAGCAATCTGCTCATGGAATTGCAAGCCTAAAAATCATACTGATGTATGTCTGGATTTGTATAGTTATGTGGCACTTAGCATTTTCTTGTTTTGTATCTTATACGTTTAGTATTGTCTTTTGTTTTACTGTTGCTTTGCTGTTGTTATTGATGTTGTTGTTGTTGTTGTCGTCGTCGTCGTTATCGTTATTTATTATTATTATTATTATTAATATTATACTATTATTACAATTATTACTATTATTATTATTATTATTTGTTTGGTTCTGTTATGTAGGTCTGCCACGGTTGATTCACATTTATTTTCACAATACTTTGGTCATTGCCCTGTAATTACTGCACAAGGAAGAACACATCCTGTCTCAACTTATTTTCTAGAGGATATTTTTGAAAATCTCAACTATCGCCTCACAACTGACTCTCCAGCTTCTATGAACTACGGAACACCCACAATAGACAAGGTTCTTCTATATATCACTTTTGCTGAGATTTCCAAATTCTGATAAATCAAAGTGTAGCTGTTAGGCTGTTAGCCTGCCTGACATTGTTGCCTTTTCCATCTCACATTTCTGGCACTGAGGATTATCTCACAGAACTAATGTCATAGCTTGATGGGGGTTGCCTTTACCAGTAACAGCACACATATATCTTAGCATGTAGTGCACAAAACTGAGTAGGCTATTGATGACTTCCCTTTAACTGAATATGTCTAGTTGTCTACACTACCCAAATTCACCGTGCTCGTAGTAAATCTGAATAATTTCATCGTTCACTGGTTATCTGGTTCTATGATTTGGCTTCCGGTAAATAAAAACTCCTGAAACATCAAGTTATTGGCCTTATGGTAAATAAAAAGTGTAGAGGTAGAACATGCATTTGGAAGTTGGTTAATTATATGTTGGGACATGTGGTTAACTGAGCGTGGCATGACTTTTCGTTGATTGTTTTCATGTTGATGCTTGCAGAGAGGTCCTGTTGGAAATCACAGAGGGAAGAAAAATCTTGTCCTATCTGCATGGGGAGATGAATCATTGCTTTCTGATGATTGTGTTAATCCATATTATAATCCAATTAGCTATCAGACATACAGTGAGCAAACCCGAGAAAACTTGGTAACTATATCTAGAAAGAGCTCCCTTTTATGTTACTGGGAAATGGGAAGCGCTGGTGTTAATCTGTTCATTTGATAAGTACCATAATGTACTCTTATCCAGAAAAGAATGAATGAAGATGTCATAGACTATGATCTTCTAGAAGACCTTGTATGTCAAATTGATGATACTTACCCTGAGGGTGCAGTGTTGGTTTTTTTACCTGTAAGTTTTGTCTTTGGCTCTATATTTTGGTTGGTGCTTGATGTTACAGTGAGTACTTGAAACGTCTCTATCTCTGAGTGGGAAGTAGTGAGTGATTTAATTCACTATTGCAGGGTGTTGCGGAAATACATATGTTGCTTGATAGACTAAGTGTTTCATATCGATTTGGTGGACAATCTTCTGAATGGCTTCTTCCTTTACACTCTTCTATAGCATCTGAGGATCAGAGAAAGGTGTTTCTAAGACCTCCGGAGAGCATTCGTAAAGTAAGCTTACTTTCTCATCCCTCTGAAAGGTTTCAACACTTTCAGCTCAATATGCTGCATGAAAGTTCACATATTCTCATTTTTCATAAAAGATGCATTGAACTTGCCATTTTTGAAAGATTATGGCATCACACATTTACAGAATCGTTTTTCCTCAATACTCCTATAGAAATGTGAGAAAACTTCCTCCTTCCTGTTGGTCTTTTAAAACTGGATCTATTACAATAGCCCTCAACTACTACATGTAAAAAGCTAATTCATCAAAAGCTAATTCAAACTATGGTACCTATAAAAAGTCATTGGTGTGCTTCTATGTTTTAACTCTACAACAACAACATCAAGCCTTAGCCCCAAAAGAGTTTGGGGTCAGCTAACTTGAATCGACATATGAAATCGGAGCTGACAAAGGTAAAAAGAGATAAAAGGATAAGATATGATAAAAAAGAAAAAATAAAGATATAGATAACATAAGAAAGATAAAAAAATAAAAACTTGAATCTACATCTAAGGTAATCCCATATTCCATCATTTGCAATGGAGCCAAAAACTCATTATTTTTTGGCTTGGAAATATGATGGAATAAAGCAAATGAGCTCACTAAACTGTCTGCGCTTCTTTGTTATGAAGCAACAGTCAGTCCATGCAATTTTTGACCCGATTTTCACTATGGGTCATCCGAAAACAATCTCTCTGTACTTTAGTACAGGGGTAAGACTGCGTACATCCGACCCCCCCTTACCCCACTATAGGTGGGAGCCTTTGCGGCACTGGGGTAATGATAATGATGACATCTAAGGTAATCCCACGGTTACAATTGCTTCTATTTCCATCAGACTTGCACTTCATATACTCAGTCTTACTTCGACTCAACCGAAAACCACTGTTCTCCAAAGTTTGTCACCATACTTCCAACTTTATTTTAATACATGATCTTGTGTCATCGATCAACATAATATTGTCGGTAAACATCATACATCACGATATATCTTCTTCAATTGACTTGTGCTTCATCCATGACTATAGCAAATAAGAAATGACTCGGAGTCGATCCTTGGTGCACTCGATAGTAATAGGTAGCTTTGCAATCCTCCCTACACAAGTACAAACACTTGTAGTATAATTCTCATGCATATCCATAACGTAAATTATACCGTGGGACCGTTATACCTTGCGAATGGTATACCGGTCCCAAATACGGCACTGCTCTTTTTATTCTTGCTGCACTATCAATGGTTTGTTATCTTATTCATTTTATCTTACTTTATCCTTTTATTCTTCTTATCTTTCTTCTCTTTTTGCCTCTAATATTCATAGATCGATTCATGTTAGCCAACCCCAAAATCTTTTGGGATTAAAGCTTGGATGTTGTTGCACTATCAATGGTTTCTTTCTTTTTCCTTCAATTTTATGATTTCTTCTTTATTTTTCTTTTCTTCAACTCTTTTCTCCTTCTCCATCAAAATACTAAAACTTTAATTGTGGTTTTACTTGTCTTTATCTTTAACTAATTAAATTACAACTGAATTTTCCTTTTCTCTTTACCAATTCATTACAAATTTTTATTAATTCACATAAAATAAGTATATTGTATTTCATATTCATACACTATTTTTTGTTTTTTTTATACGCCGGAAGGAAAACCACCAAAATCAGTGGGGTAGATGTCGGAGGTCATACACTATTTTTTGTAATATTTTTTATATCCATACACATTTTCTGTAATATTTTTTTTATTCATACATTTTTTACGGGGAAATTACCCAAAATAGGAGTAAATGAGGTTTGGAATTCCAAAATAGGACTACTATGTTTTTCTTCCCGAAATAGGAGTGGTTACTGCCATGTATGAAAAATACTGCCATAATTGAAAAATACTGTCATTAATTATAATTAATACTGTCATGTTAAATGCACTGTACTGCAACTATTTGACAGTCACGCCTACAATAAATACTGCCATGTTAGTCCTATTTTGGGAATAAAAACATAGTAGTCCTATTTTGGAATTCCAAACTCCATTTACTCCTATTTTGGGAAATCTCCCTTTTTTATGTGATATATTTTTATCGGTTTTATACTCCCTCCATCCCTTTTTATTTAGCCATATTTGGCTTTTCAAGTCAAAGATGTTAAACTTTGACCGATTATATATTTATACATGGTAGTATTGATAATATGAAAATGATATAAAAATGTTGTTTGTTAAAAATTATATCATATAAGTATAAATTTATTAAGTTTCACATAAATATACTCCGTATTATTTAAAATAATAGATCAATGTTTATCATCTTTGAAGGAAAAGTCAAACATGGCTAAATAAAAAGGGACAAAGGTAGTATGTTTTTAGTGGGGTTTTACGAAATTGAGTTTGTTTATTTAAATTTAAATTTGGTAATAGATGAGATTATATTTTCATATGTGCAATTTACATTTTCATATGTGTGAATCACATTTATACACGATTCCTGAAGTTACGTTTGATAATATATGGAATTGCATTTTCTTATGTGCAATTTACAACTTCATGTGCGCGAGTTACATCTTCTTATGCACGTTTTATATCTTAATGTGCGTGAGTTACATTCCATATGCGTGAGTCACATTGTGACTTGGCTCAACAAGTTACATTTTGCATATACGTGAATAACATTTCGACTTGTCTGAAGTTACATTGTGCATACACGCGATTTACATTTCATATATGAAAGGTGACAGAATGACCACGGTAGAGAGTAAGCGAGTTACACTCCCGTAAACGCGTTGCATTTGTCGCTAACTAAGATAAAATTTGTTAAAGTAAATGTCTCACACTGGAATGGTACGAAATAATAAATAAAAAACTATATAAGATCCTAGGTTACTGCTACTATCATGTTGACTTTTTAGGATAAAAGCTCAAATCTTAACATGATATCAGAACTAGGTCAGGTTATGGTTTGACTGTTTAGCGTCCATGATTAAGGGTAGCTTGTTCGGGTTTTTTGGCCAATTTATTTATACACTCCAGTGTATTCCAGCCTGATTTGGGTTAATGGACGTGTTAAAGTAAATGTCTCACACCACAATGGTATAAATAATAAAACACTATATAAGATCCTGAGCTACTCCTCCTATTAAGGTTGACTTTTTAGGATGTGTTCCCGATGATATCAAAGCACACAAGTCCGGTTGTAGTTTGACTGCTTGTTTAACACCCATTATTAAAGGTAGCTTGTTAAGCGTTTGTTTGACCTATTTAAACACTTCGATATTGTTCAACCCGATTTGGGCAGAGGGGCATGTTAAAGTAAATGCCTCACACCGGAATGGTATGAAATAATAAAACACTCTATAAGATCATGATTACTCCTACTATCAGGTTTGACCTTTTAGGATTGAACCTTAGATCTTAACATGCCATTAGAGCCAGATTCGGTTGTGGTTTGACTGCTCTTTTAGCACCCATGATTAAGGGTAATGGTAGCTTGTTAAGGGTTTGTTTGGCCCATTTATACATCCCGATGTTGTCCAACCCAATTTGGGTTGAGGAGGCGTGATAAAGTAAATGCCCCACATAAGAATGATATCACCATCATCATTACCCCTGTGCCGCAAAGGCTCTCACCTCTGGTGAGGTAAGGGGAAGCCGGATGCACACATCCTTACCCCTGTACTAAAGCATAAAGACGCTGTTTTCGGATGACCCATAGTGAAAATCGCATTGCAAACTGCTAATTTATAACAAAGAAGCGCACACAATTTAGTGAGACATTTTGCTTTATTCCATCATATTCCAAGCCAAAAAATAGTGATTCTTTGGCTGCACTTCAAATGATGGAAAACACACCGGAATGATATATAATAATATAACACTATATAAGATCTTGTGCTACTTCTCCTATAAGGTTGACCTTTTAAGATGAAATTCTATATCTTAACACATTTCGTAGCAACGTGAGTTATATTTTAATACACGAGATTTACATAAAGAAAATTGTTGAGAGAAAAACACAAGTACTGTTCGTGTGCGTTTTTCAATTTATGCTTAAACCTAAATGATGTCATTTTTGGAGTGGCAATATGATTTTCACCATGGGCCGCTCCCACGGTGAAACAACTCTATCCATGATGATGTTGATATAACTACATGATATGCCCTTTCTAGTTAAGACCCACCAAAGGACTTCTCGAAGGATCCTATTATACGTCTTTTTTAAGTCAATAAATACAAAATGCAAATCCTTGTTAATGCCTTTATGCTTCTCTACAAGTTGACTAAGAAGGTGAATGACCTCAAATGTTGAGAGACCAAACATAAAATCAAATTGATTCTCCGAAATCTTCACATTTCTTCAGAGTCTTTGCTCAATCACTCGCTCTCAAAGTTTCATGATATGACTCATAAGCTTAATCCCTCCATAGTTAATACATTCTTGTACATCATCTTTGTTCTTAATAAGGGAATAAGAGTACTCTTTCACCAACTTGCTAACATTTTATTATCTCTCTAGATCTTGTTCAAGAAACGTGTTTACCACCCGAGTCTCTCTCTCAAACTTCTCCAAGTTTTGATCGATATGTCAGCTGGATTCATTGATGTCTTTTGCCTCATCTTTCTTAAAGAATCTTTAACTTTTGTCATTTGGATCTTTCTCATAAGATCTCGATTTACCATACAATCTAGTATACTAAGATCATCAATATCTTATGCTTTATTCTCATTGGACAATGTATCAAAGTATGGCCTCCACCTCTCTTTTATTTCCTCATCCTTCATTAGTACCCTTTGATCGACATCTTTCACACACTTAACTTTTGTGATATCTTGAGTCAAATCATACATTCATGAATGCGAGAGTCTATAAATATCTTTTTCTCCTTCCTTAAAGCCCAATTTTACATACAACTCCTTGTTCATTTTTTCACGTGCTTCCTTCACGGTTTTTTAGCTTTTCTTTTAGTCTCCCTGTATTCTTCTATGTTTTCATTACTTCAACTTTTCTCCAAAGTCTTGTAGCACTCTCTTTTTTTCTTATGGCTTATTTCACCTCATCATTCCACCAAGATATGCCTTTTTTTGATGGCAGACATCCTTTAGGTTTCCCAAATATCTTATTTGCCACTTTGTTAATTAGGTCCACTTTATTGACAACCACACATCCTCCACATGCTGGGGTTATGTCATAAATATTACTAAATGGAAACCCATGACAACATTGGACTAAATTTAAATGTTTCCAAAAAAGAGACCTATATGACTTTTATACCCTCCTTGTTACAATTATCAGTTCTTATCAGTTACAGTTACCTGATCCAACCAATTAAAGTTACCCAAACATTTTGTGTGCATAGCTTTGTTGAAGATCCCCTCGAGCCATCGCCACCTATCTTTGTCTCTACATGTTGCTTAACATGATTTCTATGCTTCTTACCTCGAAAGTCAAGGACAAACATCTATGTTGAGTGATAATACTCTGAAGTGAGATAACCTTATACTCGATGTAGCTAATTTTTCAAGTAGTCTTCATTAAAAAGTAATCAATTTGGGTACTATTAGCTTACACTTTTATATATCACAAGGTGCGTCTCTTTTCTTGAACAAAGTGTTCCTTATATGCAACTCATATGTCGAGTCAAAATTCAAAATGTTCTTTCTTACTTCATTTCTAATTCCAAAACTATGTCCACCATGAATACTCTCAAAATCGTCACGACTTGAGCAAACATGCCCTCTTGAGGTTACCTTCTATGACCGGCTTCTCTCTCATTGGCACTCGTCGCACTACTTCCTCAAGATCTTCCCATAATTGTTGAGTGATAGATGCATCTAACCCCCTTTGTGGTACATAGTTACTTACCACGGACATGATCTCATCTCTTATCACCAATCCGATGCTCATAAGGTTGTAGTTCTTAAAACACAATAATGTCTACTCCAATTCTAGCCTCTCCCCACATACCACAACTTAAAACCTTCAGGATTAATCTCTCGTGTCTTTCTCTCCAACCCACTTAGTTTCTTGCAGGCATATAATGGTGATATTCCTTCTCTTCATAACCCCAACTACCTAACATGGTCTTCCCATTAGAGACTCAACGTTCCATGTCCCAAAGTGCAATCTAGAACTCCACCTTCTATTCTTAGCACCACCTCAACCCCCACCATGCCCTCGCATATTTGACACCATCCTCGGGGGCCTTGGGGTAGCGCACCACTTCCGGGCTATGACCTAACAATGTTAACATTCTTATAACCACACCCAGACCTATGAAGTTAGGCATACCCTTGCATATTCGACACCACCCCAGGCGGAGGGATGACACGTCACTTCCGGCGATGACCAAGGTAATATATAATTATAATTAATTAATTATAACCGGTACCCTTGCGTATCAGTTAGCTGTGAAGCTGTGACGCATACTGACTAGTGAGTAATATATAATTATATATAGAATATATTATATAATGTGCGACTATTCACCTAATTGTCGCCTAGGCAGGCGTATTATCGCCTAGGTGATATGGCAGTCGGATGGCGCCGCGACTCGACTTACCGCCGTGACAAGTATGCACAACACGCTCCTCCTTTATCCTGGCTTGGGATAGGAGTGATACAAAAAATTGATCTCACAGCGGAGTTCCCTATGTTTTTAACTCTCTCTCACCAAAATTTTGTTAAGACAATGAGTAGATTATTGCGAGTTGTAGAGGGCCTTAGTGATTGTGTCACATCACTCAATGTGTAAATTGTAAAATGTCTGTTTTTGTGTTTTTCTGGACTTTGGTTACAACTTAATACTGTCAGTATGTACAGACATGTCCTGGCTAGGTGGGGACAAATAACTTAAGGGATATTTTATAATAAATTTAGGCAATGAGCATGCTATAGCAATGTTTTGTCTTGACCTCTTTATTGGATAATCAAATATGCTTGACTGTTCTTAATGTTTCAGGTTATAATTGCTACAAATATTGCAGAGACTAGTATAACAATAGATGATGTGGTCTATGTGGTAGACTGTGGAAAGCACAAGGAAAGTCGCTTTAATCCCATAAAGGTGCATTGTTTCTTTTTGAAGCTTATATGAGGAGGTTATTCATGTAATACTATTACTGATAGTGTTGCAGATTAGTTGTCTCTAATTGAAAGTAAGATTCATATTTATATTCTATAAGGGCCTCTATAGGATCGGGAGTTTGGAGTTAATTTCACTTTCCTTACCCCTTGCTATCCATTCTCATGAAATTTATATTTTCATTTACTTTAACAACAGATTGTGGAGTAAAAGTAGTAGTGCCTCGGTCCCATTTTATGCGTCTTGTTTTGATTTGGCACAACTTTTAATAAAGTGGTTGAAAAAGTAAAGTTGTTGTTGAGATTTGAGTATTATAAAGTAAAATGCTGTGGACCACACATTTCTTTCTAAAATAGAATAGATGAAATTTATTTTGGGACAACCTAAAAAGAAAAGTAAGACATGTAAAATGGGACGGAGGGAGTACTATTTATGGTCTTAAAGTTGCTCTTTAGTTAGCAGTTTTATATCAACTAATCTTATGATGATAGAAACTGTCAAGCATGGTTGAAGATTGGATATCTCAAGCAAATGCAAGACAGCGCAGAGGAAGAGCTGGACGTGTTAAGCCAGGAATCTGCTTCTGTCTGTATACGCGTCATCGATATGAAAAGCTCATGAGACCATATCAGGTAATGACAATTTAGTATAAGTTTGGCCCAAGTCCTGAAGTGTATTTTGTCCTCATCAACAAACTTTTGGCCTTTTACATAGCATTATGTGTGCTTATGTCTTTTGGAATATATAAGCTCCAATCAGTTATGGGCCCAACAAGCACTTTATTGAAACTCCAATGAATTTTCTTGGTTACTAACTTACTACTCAGTTTTCTTTCTTTGTACTGTACAGATACCTGAGATGTTGCGGATGCCTTTAGTTGAACTATGTTTGCAAATCAAGTTGCTTTCTCTAGGAAACATAAAAATGTTCTTATCTAAGGTACCATCTCATCTACAACTTCAATAGCTCTCAGGGTTCAGTTACTTCAGTATCTCTAATTTTCAATTTCTTAAATTTAAATTCTGGTTTACAGGCTCTAGAGCCTCCAAAGGAAGAGGCCATTACATCCGCAATTTCTTTGTTATATGAGGTATTCAGTTATTCACTGGTATCACGTATCAACAGTTTATGTTATAACATGGGGTATTTTTACGACTAACTTTTAAATTTTGATTTAATGTGCTGACTGTGTCTTTGCCACAGACTATCTTTCATTGATATGCATTTCCCATAAGTTTAGCTTATGCAATTACCATGTCCTTGTGAAACAAATGTATCTTCTTGTTCATGCTATATTTTACTTGAACATCAAAAAGTGCCTAGTGAGCTATAATGTTCAAGGCAATATTTGACAATGCAATAAGATTTATCTGGCCGATCTAAATTGAACTTGTGATTAGGTGGGAGCCATTGAAGGAAATGAAGACTTGACTCCTCTTGGGTTTCATTTAGCAAAACTCCCAGTTGATGTACTAATTGGAAAGGTAGGCTTTAGTGGTTTTTTTTTGAATTGATCCTAGCGCACAAACCAAACCTTAGGTCTTAAACTCTTAAAGATGGAAATACACTGGCCTGTAAGACTGTCATGCTATTGAGATTTGAGTGGTTGTATTCTTTTTCTGCAGTCTGATTTTTTATTTAATGAATTGCAGATGATGTTGTATGGCACTATTTTTGGTTGTTTATCACCAATTCTTTCTATTTCATCTTTTTTGAGCTACAAGTCTCCATTTGTTTATCCAAAAGATGAGGTTCTATGACTTCAATCTTGAACATTGTACTACTTCCTTTGACTTGTCTACATAGGAATGAACTGACTAAATGTAAGGTGTTGGCAGAAGCAAACTGCTGAAAGAGCCAAGCTGGCTCTATTGGGCGACAAACTTAGCGGCGAAACTGATTCTTGTGATGGCAATGTGCAATCTGATCATCTTCTAATGATGGTCGCATATAAGAAATGGGAGAAGGTTTTGTGTGAGGTGTGTTGAGAGGGAAAATGCATGTATCCCAACTTTTTACAGTCCTACATTTATTCAGCATCGTGCAAATTATTTGGACATATCTCTGGGTAAAGGATATCGGTATGGTTAATATTATCCTATATATAGTAAGATTAGATTAATTTGCTGGATATAGTAAGATTAAGTTAATTTGCAGTGTCGCAGAATTTACCAGGCTACCTACTCTTAAAAAGTACTATCATGAGATTTTTGATCAATTACCTAATTCAAATCACAAAATCAATGGATCATATAAAACAGAGTACATTAGGGTCGCCTATCTCTAATACCTCTATGACAAACAGAAAGTGGAGTGCTCACCATTAGAACACCTCCTGTAGTCCTGTTATGACAAGCAAAAAGTCAGATGAGCACTAAAGATAGTTAATCTTCAAGTTTTCGCTTTTGCAGCACTGTTAATCTTCTAGTGCTCCACATTTCTAGTTTACTTTTAGGGCAGCCGTCACTGTGAACTTCATGCGGGTTGGTTGAATACTTGAATGCATCCTTCTTCTTGCAGAATGGAGCTAAAGGAGCACAGAGATTTTGCAACTTATATTTCTTAAGCAATTCCGTTATGTATATGATAAGGTTTGTCAATGTTTCATAAGTCTTTATTCTCTCATTAAGCCCCATGATGAAATTTGACTCATTTTCAGAATCCCCCTCTCCACTGAAGAAAGAAATTGTTAAAATACTTGCATGCTTGCATAAACTTCATTGAACTAATTATAGCTTATAAGGAAGTGGATCCAACATAGGGCACAATCTAACTTAAAAGATACCGAGTAAACTAATTCTCAAGTAGTTTTAACGTACTTGGAATGAAATATATTCAATGTCATCAAGGCAGCTGTAGTAGGGGTTGCACCTGAGCATTATACAACTTACAGAGTACTAAATTACTATCACAACACAGTTAATTGAAAAACACATGATCAGCAGCTTTTATTATTCAAAATAAAATCTAAAATATCAATTGAAGCATCATAAAAATATGCTTTGATTTTATTTTTTATAATTTTTCATAATCTCTAGATTCTTCTATTAGGTCATTCTGCATCATCTCTAGATTCCTCATATGCGCCTTTCTTTTTATTTAATTAAATTTTCACTTTTTTCCCTTTTGAAGGGTTAATCTTGTCAAGATTGTGTATATCTTTATAATTAGGTGATTTTTTTCTTGCTATCATTTGCTACATCTATCAAATGCATAGGGTAAGTAATTAAAGTTAAATCAATCAGAAGTTTGCCATTTGCTAAAATTTATGTGCTGCATTCCAGAGACATGAGAATACAATTTGGAACATTGCTAGCAGACATTGGGCTCATTGAAATTCCCAAAAGCTTTCAGGTATTCCAAATGTGAAATGCTAGTCTGTAGACAAATTTGTATGATTATGCTGAGGGCATTTTCTTTTCAGTTTACTGAGCAAACCTGTTACATAAATGTGTTTGATAGACTAATGAAATAATCTTCAAACGTTTTTGGTCAAATGTAGTGATTATGACACTAAGCATTAAAGAATGGAGACTAAACTACTCTAATAATTAGTTAGATTAAACTAGCTTGCTAGGCTGGTTAAACTCATCCTTCACCTTTTAAGTCAAGTGCCTTGGCATCGATGTCTTTGTTACTAGGCAAGGTTGTGATGCTATTTAGTGGTACTAACTTAGATGAAGAAGTCTAAGCATAAAGGTTGAGTTCTCTCATTCGTACTATGTTCTTTTTCAAAACGGTGTTTCTGAGAAGTTTATTTGTTGGTTTCATTTGGAAATATTATGTAGAGTTACTTGTGAAGTAGTCTGAGGTCTTAAGATGATACATTTCTAGATACCCTGCCTTTCTCTCTGACTCTTGTGTTTTTTAGTGGCATTGTAACTCGAGATACTCAATGAATGCAGATCTCTGGAAAAAGGAAAGAAAAGATTGGTAGTTGGCTCTCTGATACAGCACAACCATTTAATGTGCATGCAAATCATTACTTAATTATTAAGGTAAACTAAAAAATCATTTTTATGTTTTATTAGAACACCAAAGCTTCTATGAAGGATATTATAAATCTGTAAACATTTTGAGTAAACTATAACTCAATCTGTATGCATTTGATTTTTATTTTAGATAAAAGACTAGTTCTACCGCTTTTTTTTCTGTTTATATATTTTCTGGACTTCCTAAGATACTGATTCTGAGTTTACATGCTTAGGCAATACTTTGTGCTGGTCTCTATCCCAATGTTGCTGCCACAGAAGATGGTGTTGCTACATCTCTTCTTGGATCCATAAAACAGTACATGGGGCAAAAACCAAAAAGTCAGTCCATGTGGTTTGATGGAAAAAGAGAAGTTCACATTCACCCTTCTTCAATTAACTCTACTTCGAAAGCTTTACAATATCCATTTCTTGTCTTTCTTGAAAAGGTCAGTGTTTTTGAGAACACTTCGTCACATTATTTGTGTCACTATCTTTTCATCTCCTCCCACTGTTGCCTTGCTTTTTGAATAAAGTAACAAACAAGTGTCTTCATCATTTGAGGTCCTTGCTCAAATTCTCAACCATGCATAGTTATGAGAATTGAAGTACTCACCTTGTCCCAAAATGGATGTCAAATTTTTTATTCTTTTGCCAAAAAATTTCTTGACAACTTTTTATAAATGAGTAGTTATGTCACATCACGAATATTTAATATTCCCTCCATCCCATAAAACTTGGCCAAAGTTGACTTGTACGTAGAGGAGAAAGCAATAACTTTAGCCACATATTTGTTACTTTAAATGGAAATGGAAAAGTTTTTTTGGACGGCCAAAAAAGGAAAGTTGGCTAGGTTTTATGGGATGGATGTAGTCATGTAGTGTAGTTTAAAAAATATAAATTTAAATCTAAATTAATAAAAACTCTAGTGTTGTTTTAGAAGTATATAAACTTAATGCTAAATTAGTTAAGCTTTTAGTACAGTTTAAAAAAAAATACTGCTAAATTAATTATGGGTTTTGTCCATGAGTATTACTAAAGTTTTGTTGGAGGCAAAAAAGAGACCTTTTTATGAGTTTCCAAAAAGTGACTAAATTAGTCCTAAAACTAGAAACACATCTGTGTTATACTAATTACCCCATCAAAGCCCATGTGATCAATGTTCTAAAAGGCGTAAGGCGCGTCACGGTGGCATGATCAAGCCTCAAGCCTTGGTGAGGCGTAGGCGTGAAAAGGCGTTTTGATTTTTCATCATATTTTTAATTTCCCTACCGCCATTAATTAGAATGTAAATTTAGTATGACATAGTAAATTTAAGTCTAGCATGGTCTAGTTGGTCTAATATGATCTTAGACGGAAATCAATCCAATTGAAACATCCTGATTTTTCCCAAAGTAGATTTGGAAAAGTAGTTGAGTCATAAAAGTGACAATAATAGAAATGTAATATAATACTATGTACTGCATAATACAAAGTTAGAAAAATAATACAGTACTAATAATAATTTAATAATAATATAACAACAACAATAATAATAATGAGAGTTAGAATAATTTTAGTGCGAGCTGCGAAATAGCTTGTAAAATGTAGGGAGCAACTTCTAAGGCTTCTTTTCCCTATGGTTACACATTTCCCACACCGGAGAAATAGAGTAATTCTACCTTGCACCTCGCCTATACAACAGAAGCTCCACTCGATGGATTTACGTGAGGCATACAATTGAGGCTTCAACATATGCAGGCCTAGTTATATTGGCTTGCCTAATTGTGCTCCAATAGTTGAATTTTGGTTTCACATTTGATGGGCCGCCTTGTAGCCTGCCTAGTAGAACTGGGAAAATGTAATACCGTACCGTTCCATACCAATTTATTTAATAATATGGTGCGGTACCGGTTCTTAAGTGAGAACCATTCCAAAACCGTATTGAAACGAACCATCTTGAACCGTGTCGTATCGTCCTGAAAAAATGGTTATACAAAATAATATATACTCCATATACTAGTATATTTTATTTTATTGTTTTAATAGTCAATAATCTACATTGTGGTTACTCAAAGCTTTGGTATAGACCGTATAATGCATGTACACTCTTTAGGCCCCCAATACAATTATTTAGCGTACTAAATTTTATAAATAATAATAGTAATAACTATGATATGGAACATGTAAAGACCAGAACTATAATTTAATTATAGTTTGATTATTATTTTGTATTTCAGTTAGGTTTGATTGCACATGGTTAGTTTAGCGTAGACTTTTCAATTCTGCAGTCTTTTCTCTTAAACTTTTGTACAATTTTACTTATATATGCTAAAACCTAAAATATTTTTGACTTCGTGGGAGTTAATTATTTAGGAATCGAATGGTACTGAAGAACTGTACCAACTGTACTAAAAATTGGTACAGAACGGGACAAGTTCTATATATATTCAGGACGGTACCGGCTCTTTCATTTTTAAAAGATCCGTACTTTGGGACAGGGCAGGTTTTTCGAAATTACTGTCCCGTACCGTCCCATGCTCACCCCTACTAAGAAGCCTTTAGTCTTATTTCCCTCATTATTTCATTAATTATTACAAAAATAAAGTTAAAGATAACTTCACTCAAGGCTTTAACCAGAGAGGCAGACAACCATTTTGGGGCGGAGGACGGGAGGAGTAATTATCATGTCAGGCGGATAATATTTGCTTCTTGTACAACATGTCTATATATGATTTTGATGCTCACAAAATTCGCAGGTGGAGACAAATAAAGTATTTCTGCGGGATACCACCATAATCTCCCCTTATTCCATTTTGCTGTTTGGCGGTTCAATATGCGTGCAGCATCAGGTATTCCTATCCCATCAGACTCTACATGTGTTTTTGCAATCTTCCTATTACGGGGTTCTTCTTTTATTTCTAGCTAAGTGAATATGAAATAATAAATATTAACAATTTACACCATGTTTCTCTGAAATGAGGGGAAGGAAAAAAGAAGAGTTAAACAAATGTTTTATACTTTTATGTCTGATTCAATGGAGGATTGGGAGGAATCAGTAGTTCAAAAACAAATGTTATGTTAGAATTAAAGATCTACTTACTGTAATGTGTGTATAGCAACAATAATGTATTGGATTCTCCTCTTCAACTTCCCCCATCCTCACCGTGGATTAAAACCCTATTACATCCATTGCCCCATGAGTAAGGATGGCAATGAGGGCAGGGGCTCGGGGCCCTCCCTGTGGGGGAGAAGTGGGGCGGGTGTTGGGGTGGGGCGGGTGATAGGTTATGCACCCCCACCCATCCCCCACCCCGTCCCCGCTTCATCATCATAATAATAATAATAGTAATAATAATAATGTTAACAACAACAACAATAGTAATAGTAATTATAACCCAAATACTAATGAATATAGATAGTGGTTGTGGGCATAGTTGTTACGGTGGGGTTTCGTGGCACGGCGCGGCGCCTCCGGATCGCCATGGCGATATGGCGCCCGCCGTGGCGACATCGCGGCGATAAGTCAACATAGGTACAATAATAAATCCATAATATGTTTTATATACTAAATGTCTACATCCAACACTTATAGCCAACACCACTAATCAAGTAGTAAAACATGTAATCATAGAAACAATACAATCCATAAGACCATAACCATAGGTCTATAGTTCATCAAAGCAATCACAAAAATTTCCATAATCCAAGAACTACAAAATACATAATCCAACATAAAACTACGTAGACATAGTCAAAAGAATAAAAAAAATATTAAATGTAAAGTAACACAACTGAACATTCAGCATAAATTCAAGACACCAATAAAATTATTAAATACAGAGTACTAATTGTAAACAAACAACTGAAATTTCAGCATTATTTGAGCAAAACTGAAATTTGTTTTCAGAAAATTGAAACAATTGAAACGCTTTACGGAATATAAAATAGTAACAATATTACACAGTTCAACACTACAACATTAAATAAAAAGAATAGAAAACAATTTTATTCTTTAAATTAATACAACTGGTAGGTCCCCTAGATTTTGATGATCAATGTATTTAGTTTTGATGATGCCAAACCTCTTTTTAGCATTCCTGTATTAGACTAGATTCTCTTGTACTTGTTCTACTTTGCTTATTGTAATGTGCTCCTATATTAGTGATAAAGTACTCGAGAAAAACAAAGAGTACTAAAAAGAGAATAAACGTACCATAAAACAAAAAGAAGAGAATAAAAAAGAAAAGGTAAGAAAAGAGTCAACTGAAACCCTTTGTGAATTCGGCAGCCATCTGGAAATACCAGAATCAGCAGCTTGCTGAAAACCCTTCGGCCGGCTCCTTACTCAGTTTTCCGGTTAGCTCAACCGAAATCTACTATTCTTCTCTTAGCACAAAAACAATTAAACAAAAGACCAACTTGCAGTCAAAGTGACAAATAGATTAAAGTAATTTTATAAGAAATTTTTACCACCTTATGAAAGTTTCTTATAAATTTATTTTACTAAAAGAAAGTGTTTTCAATTGTAAGGAAGCATTGAACATACACTCAACTTATATACTGAATTTCTACGAGCTAAAGAAATAAAGATATTACATCTTTATCTTTGCATTATTAGAATGAGGAATATCAAGTTGAAGTGTAAAACAGTTCGTTTCACAAGAACACAAAGACAAACCATGCTGCCTCGGTCAAGTGAAACAAAGCAAGTAGATCATGCAACGGTCAAGATTGAACTCATCAGCCAACGGACGAGATTCAACAAGTCTATAAATACAGAAGGAGTGTGAGAAGACCAAGTGTGGTAAAACATGTGAACCAAGTGGAATAGAGCGGAATCAAGATTCACACGAACACATCCACTAAACTGATTCCCCTTCACCACTTCGGTTACCACCCCACTAATCTAATGCTCTTTGAATAGCTCATAATTCATACATATCTATAGAGCTTAGATTAGTTGGTAGTTTAGTTTTCACCCATGTAAACTAGACTATTGTTAGACATTCTGGAGGGCTTTGTGATCAAATCCAAAGGTGAGAAGGGCAAGGACATGAATAGCTCTTGGCAAGTCAATGCCATTAGTGAAAAAACTTGGAGGACTGAGTAGCTTGGAATGGTTTTCAAATTCATTATGAAAAACCTCACAATCTACGCCTGAGCCAAGGGTAGATTGGGCACTAAATGTAATGAGATATTCATTTAGTGGAAATCCATCTGAAATAGGTTGGGACTGGATGTAGGAGGATTACACCACACCTCTGAACCAGGATATATCTTGCGTCACCTTTTATATTCAGCAACCAACACACACTTCAGTTCTCACTCACCTTCAAGAATTCCCGGTCAAATAGCTTGCTCATTTTCAGTCCAAAAAACTGTCCAAGTTTTCTGTGAATCAAACTCCTTGTTTCTATTCATCAAAGTGATCTATTTCAATAGGTCTAAATCCTTCATACCTATGTGTTTTCTCTACTTATAACAGCTAAACAATGTCCAGGTCTGTACCTTAAACATTGATACAGCAGCAAAATCAGCAGCCAGCTCCAGGCGTGGCGTAGCGTCATGGTAGCGTTAGCTATGCTCGACTAACAGGATGAGTTATGTGCCTGGCAGTCTGCTCCTTAAGGTTTCAGCAGTCTGCTCCTTGATCCAGCTTATCTTGGCAAATTTGCATCCTGTTTACTTCATCTCTCACATAACTAAAAGGGTCATAACCTTTGTTACTATAAAGTGTCACACTCTTGAGGTCAAGACTTCCGCTTTATGTTTCAATATCTCCCAAAAGATATTGGAACTCATTCTGTTAGAGGAAAAAGGGTTGAAATTGAAAAGATTTTAAAAGTATCCACACCCCCCTCTAGACTTTTACCTCACTTGGGACCCATCAACAGCCTACTAGATTATCAAAAAAAAAACAAAGAATAGACACTAGACATCATAGGAAAACTCTGGAGACAAAAATACAAGTCTAAACCCTAAAGCAGATTAAAAATGTGTTGAGGAAATCTGCAAAATACTGGAGCAAATAAAACTAATTAACTAATAATGAACCGCCTATCCTAAATCTGGAGCCAATAAAAAATAAAAAAATCTATAACCCAACACTGCAGAAATACTCGGCGGAACTGCGGAAGAGGAAGCTGGAGCCTAGATGCCGACGACCTCTGACCAATGGCGAGACCGACAAGTATGCGTTTGGGATGGCGACAACTTTGGAGTAGCGCGTTTTGCAAGATAGGTCAACTGGGTCAAGTGGGTTTGGGTTTGGGTTTGGGCCTGTTCATGTATGATTGGGTCGCGCCTTGCGTAGTCATCTTGCATCTATGGCGTCTTTCCGAGCCACGGCGACGCTGCTTCGACGCCTAAAGACTTGGCGTCTCGACCTCCCATGGCGAGCTTTGGTGAGCACCACGACGATACGGCGACGCCGTAATAACTTATGTGGTGGGTCTATTGTCTAGTTTGAAGACTTGTCAACAGTTTATTGAACCATCCGTTAGAAAAATCGTCACGCCTATAGGCTATAACCCTCTTTGTGATTTTGTCCATAATGACCAAGAGCCCGTTTGGTGCTCATGTTTTCGGCTTTTCAGGCTTATCAGTCAACTTTTTCACCAAACATATAACTTTTGGTTTCGTGCGCTGAATTGTGTAATAATAAGATAAAGTAAGGTTGGGGTTAATTTTTGTGGTTGTATTGGCTGAAGTTATTATAGATCATTTTAGCTGTTTTCATGTATTTTTTTCTTTTTTTATTAAGAAAATATATTTTAAATATTTTTTTTATAAATCAGCAGAATCATCCAATGCAGCCACTTCAGCCAGAACTTCATAAATTTCAGCATAATCGGCCAATACACCTGATTTGGTTATTACAAAACGGGCTCTAAATCTATTGAATGTTTGAAGACTTATAAATTATCGATTGATTTTGTTTTGTCTATGTACTTGTGTTACAACATTACAGTATAAAGAACGGTTGAAAACAAACTTTTGTTTTGCTTGAAAGCAACTACTACTATATGTTAGTTGAGTTTTAAATTTATTTACTTCAACTATATTATTTAATTTTGTTTTGACAAATATTCCTCGCGGGTCTAGCGGGGATGGGGTGGTTTTTTTAGACACGGTACGGGATGGGAGAGTAAACCCCCACCCGCATTGCCATCCTTGCCTGTGAGAATGTGTACTTGTGAGAATGAGCACTCATGCGGCATAGTTGGAACAAGATTGTTAATTGTACGTTTTCCAATTTACCCCTCAATGGTGTTCCACTCTTGCTTACAAAGAGTTTAATTCATTTCTAATTGGGTCAATTTGGATTGTGATGTGACTCTCAAGTCTCAATGATTCAATCCTTTTGTTCATGGAGAGAGGGAAATCACGTTGGAGGGATTTCGTGATCCAATAATGTCATCAACTCTATCATGACTATAGGCTGTGTATTAACTCATATGTCCAAAATATATATAACAGAGTGGAATAATCACCGTAGATGGATGGTTGAAAGTCCGGGCAGCGGCACAAACTGCTGTGCTTTTCAAAGAACTTCAGCTGACTCTCCGTCATATTCTTAAGGAGCTGATTCAGAACCCACAGGTAGAATCTTCTTCTCAGTCAAGTATAATACTACCTCCGTTCCCATTTTAACTTCCAAATGGGTTTGGCACAAAGTTTAAGATAGTGGATATTGTGTGGTGGAGAGTTGTGCAAAGGAGAGAGAAATGTGTAAGAAATGTTGTGAACCACAAATTCTTTACCAAAAAGGGAAAGTGGAAGTTTTAATTGGAACGGACGAAAAAGGAAAGTTGGAAGTTTATTTAGGAACGGAGGGAGTAGTGAACATCTATCTTTCCTTGGGTTGCGCAAATTAAAAGATCATTGATTGTGTTTAACTTCCTTGACACTCTTCTAATATAGCTGCACCTATGGCCTCATCTTTTATGTTTCAGAGTGCAAGCATAAAGGATAATGAAGTTATCAGATCCATAATACAGTTGCTGTTGGAAGAAGATAAACCACCCAAATAAAGTTCCGTACCTTGAGTCAGTGTTATGATGTAATACTAATTAGTTGTAATAATATAACAATGTTCAACGCAGGTCAGTATGATATTACTGTTATAAAGGGTTAAACTATTAATAGAAAGGTGTTTAGCTCTGTTGTGACAAAAGTACGATAGAATTGTTGAATTTCACTTTTTTAATGGAATAAATTTCACTTTCCTGTGAGTTTTAGGCCAATTCCACATTTAGTCTACATCTTTCACTTTGTCCACTTTTGATACATGACTATTGTGTTTTCGTCCATATATGGTCCTTTCCGCAATGTTTTGTATGGTTAAAATCGCTGGAAAATTGGCTTTTGGCAATATTGGCTTGGCAATCAGCTCATCATTCAAACAAACTGAGGAGCAGCCCAATTCCCAAATGCTAAAATGACTAAAATAAGTTATTGACAGGACTGAGAAAGTGAGTCCTCACTAGGGATGGACTCGGGCCGGGTTAACCGAACCGGCACTGTTCCGGCCCGGAGCGGTCCGGTCCACGGTTCTGTGACCGGTTCGGGACACCCGACCCGACACTGTAGAGGGGCGGTTCTCGGGCCTCGCATTTGATGAACTGGCCCAGCCGGTTTGTGCCAAATTTTTTTCACATTTTTTAAAAGGTAAATGGGTTGGGTTGGGTGTTTTGGAGGGGTCTGGGGTGTGTGGGGGGGCTAGGAAGTAATTAGAAAAAAACAATAGGGTGAACCGGCTTGGTAACCACCGGGTGAACCGGCCTGACCCGGGCCCGGAGCTATCCGGGCCGGTTTCCAGGCCTCACTTCTCCAAAAAAAAAGCCCGGACCGAGGCCATGCCTAGACCTTACTCTAATCAGATGTTTGATCTTACCTTTTGCCGTAGATTTGAGCAGCTGAGCACTTGAGTCAATGAGGTCGTTTCACTGCTTTACATTTTTTATCATTTAATTTTGGTTTTAATCTCTCAGAATATTTATAGTCTTTGGTTTAAATTGTTTTATGTGAACTGGTTAATGGTTATCACTCCGTATATGAGTTCATGCGGGCTTTTTTCTTGAATATTACTAATTTAAAGCCAATTTTCAAAAGAAAAAAAAATGACTAAGAAGATCATATATTTGGAAAATATGATCACTGTTACATTTTTGTGTCACTACCAAATTTTTATATCACTATCAAGATTTTATGTCACTATCAATTTTCGTGTCACTTTCGGATGCCACTGCGGCTATGAAGCGTGTCACTGTGATCGTCGGATAATTTTTCGGTGACTTTTTTCGACAAAACAGTGACTTTCACCGTCCAACACCGCCACCAGCCACCCCGTTGGCACCACCATCCCACGCCACGGCCCGTCCCCCTTAGACTGCCCATTACCCTTGCCCCCATCCCCATGCCCCAACATCCCAAACCCAAGCCCCTGCCCCTACCCCACCCACCCTATCCACCAGTCTACCCGTTGACCGTCACCGAACGGACCCAACATCGTCGGTCAACACCACCAGCCACCAACGATCAACACTAGCCCGAAATCGTCACTCCCAAATCCTAGTCCCAACCTCCCCAACCTGCCCTCTCCAGCCTTGCACCCTCACAACCCCCATCCACCGCCGGATATGGTCCTTTGCACCGCTGGAACCCTAGATCTGCTGCCATCGCCTCACCAGTCACCATCGTTGAATGAGAAGAAGAAAGAAGGAGAAAAACAATGACGATGGCGATTAATCGCGACAGAAGCCAAATGCTGAGTCGGTGAGGTATGCGGCGATTGGATCGAAGCAGATCGACAGATGCAAAGATAAACGGCGGCGGCGGTGATGCAGTGATGACTGGCGGACTGACGGCGGCACTGCAGAGTAACTGTTCATCATCCATTCACTCGCAGATCCCAGACAGAGATGGCGAAGATGACGAGCTCGCAAAGATGGCAAAGATGAGGGCTCGCACATATGGAAAATGCGATGACTATACGGAAGTGCTAAGGGGTGAGATCACATTTATGTCCATCTCGGATTTAGTGATATTTTTGTCTATACAAACTCTAGGAGTAATTTATGGGTAATCTGTTGCACTTTTGGAACTTCAGTCGAATCATGCTAAATAAAAAAAATGTGAAAACATTTTCGCAAATAAGTCAAGTTTCCTGTCAATGCGAAAAAGTGCAACACATAAACGTAATACTGCATCACACTGTGGAAAAAGTGGACGGTTTGCGGTTTCACGATAAGAATGGTTTTTATTTGATCCATACCCTCTATACGGGAGCGGTTCCGGTAAAAACAGACTCTCATGAGAGAAATGAGAATGAATCTGGACCATTGGATTGTTTAAGTGGAACTAAAATGTGCATTAGATTATATTGAATGTGCTGAATAAAAATTTATAACTCAAATGTGCATCAGATGAAACTGAAATGTGTGAAATAAAAGATACAAAAATAATATCACATCGTACCTTTTATTCTACACATTTTAATATCACTTACTGCACATTTTAATTTCACCTAATGCACAATTCTACTTCACATAATGTCACTGTATGAAGATGATGGTATACTCCTATTTCACAAAAAATCACAGCTCTTCTATCAAAGACTCGAAGAGTAGAGCTCGCGTCAATTATATTTTCATATTTACGCATAACATTGTAATACTCCGTATTATATATAGTCAACATCCGATGAATGAAGAATAAAATTATCATGCCAGTAATTTCTATGTTTCTTTCATAGTTCCATGAGTCTCATGGTTTCACTTCATATAGTTCTATACTTCTATACTATTTTGATAAGGGGAATTACAATCCTCAGAACAATTTAACAACCTCAATCATGTTTTATCTATAGTTTTATATAGTAAACTTGAGTTAAAAAACAATGACGTGTCAGCTTCTTATTGGATAATACAAATTCTATTATCATTAATATTAAAACAATTAATTAATTCAATGTCCACCACACTTAAAAATCATGCATTAGCGCTGATTTAGAGCAAGAGTAGGAGAAAAAATCTCTTTTTTAAAGTGATAATCCTATAATTTATATATTTATAATCCAATTTTCACAAAAAATATATCAAAATTCATAATTTTTTAAGATCTTTCATATGACACCAATATTATATATATAAAAATATATAAAAATAGCTATTATTTTATATAGCAAAACCGAGTTAAAAAAAACTATTGATTACTAAAAATTCTATTATGACTACTACTAAAACATTTAATTCATATAAGTTGACTCGATTCATTTAATTCTAGACGATCTCTGCCCTTTACGGCCGCCAAACAACCCTGGATTGCCACCCACTGAGTCACCCCTTTCACCGGGCCTCAACTCACCCGTGTTCCTCTGGGATCAAACACCGGTGGTACAGCTTCCATCTCATGAGACAACAATAAAACCAAAATTGCCAAAACAAACAACGGAAAATCGAGCCTTAAAATTGTTACTCCACTGAATCGCACAAGTAGCATCCTTGAAATGCACAACCAGCAAGGATTGAGAACCCGAGGACTGGTCCCAAATTACCTCCACTGCTAGAAGCCCGACTTCAAACCCCTGCCTTCAAACGCACAGTAAATCTTGGACGATCCCATGCTCACAATCGCAACTATTTGAAGCAATTCTTGGCTGCCACACTGTTAATTGCAAATGGAATCCGTTGTGTAATACTGCGTTGCTACCCCACTGATCGTAGGCAACAGACGATCGGTCAAGAGTCACGACCCTGTGCGGATTATGATCTGCGATGAAACCTCCAAGGACAGAAGCCCCAAATACTCGTCCTACACTCCAAACGAACCCCCGCTAGCACCTCTCTGGGACCCACTCGCCGTGAAACTCACTATGCCGCCCGCCAAAAAACCCTAGACAAGGCTAGGACCACTGCTGATACATCTCTAGACCAAACGATAAGAATCCAAACATCATATTCCCTCTGTCCCGGTTGGACTTTGCCAAGTGCAAAATAGGTGAGGAATAAGAGAAAAGTAAAAACTGTGTGGTTGAGATTTGTGCAGAGGAGAGAAATGTGCAGAACCACAAATTAGTTTAGTTTAATAGGAAAGGGGCAAAGTTTTTTGGGACAGCCAAAAAGGAAAGTTGGCAAAGTCCAATGGGACAGAAGGAGTATATTATTATTGTGGTTATTATCAATGATCATATTATTGTTTAACTATATTATTATTAATGTATTTTTCTTGTTATCAGTATTTATAAGTGACTAATATTATAAAAGGCCCTTGTGTCGGTCTTGTAAGCTCGATTCAATCCCTGATCTAAAAAAAGGTCCAATTCGCACCCGAACCAGCAAAAGAGGGTTCAAATTTCATTTTTTTACAGGTAAACAACCAGTAAAAAAGGTCCAATTCGCGCACCTTTAAGCTATTAAGAAGTATCAAAATTGCAATAAATCAAAAATAAAAAACAGAAACAATAAAAAATTTAAAAAATGACCGGTTGTTTACCCGTAAAAAATGAAATTTGAACCAATTTTTGTGGGTTCAGGGTGCGAATTGAACTTTTTTTAGTTAATGGACTGAATTGAGCTTACACGGGCGGTACAGGGGCTTATTTGACACTTTAGCCATTTAATTATAATAGTAATACTCAATGTTCTAAAAGGCGCTAGGCGCTAGTCGGGCGTCTAGCGCCTAGGCGGCTAACTGGGAACCTAGGCATGGACTAGTCGGAGACATAGAAATTGCATTTTTGTCTATATTTTTGCATAAATATGATAAGTAATATTGTATTTGTGTGTATAATACATATATACACATATGTTAACAAACATGAATGATAGAATTGTGACATTTAATCATATGTAGTATATGATAATCAATCACATAACTCATTATGTTATAATTATAAATAATAATAAAATTTAGGTATATACACAAACATATATAGTTTTATCTTAATTTATAATTTATTTCTTTATATCCGTTACTAAAGTTAAAGTACTTATATCGCTTAGAAAATTAAAATTAAAAAGTAAAGTAATGTTCGGCGAATCTAGATGGCTTAAGCGGCCGATTAGGCGCTCTGGACTGGCAACTAGACGCCATAGGTGACTAACTAATTCACCTAAACATAAAACCAATTAGTCGGAGCGCCTAAACGAAAATCGGGGCGCTAGGCGATGGCGGGGACAAGTCGAACGCCTAGAACGATTTTTAGAACAGAGGTAATACTACATATTATAATGGTATTTATAACACTTATTGTGATGATAATCATAACTATAAAATAAGGATAACTATAACGATAATAAAATGATATTGTAATTATAGTTATTGTTAAAATTGTAATTATAATTATAATTATCATTATAGTTATAATGATAATTATAATTATAAATTTGATTGTATAATGACAATGATAATCATTATATAAGTATTCAATGGAGACGGATTAGAACATGATCTATTGAAAAAATAATTTGAGAAAGTGAGTATAAAAAAACATTTAGAAGAAAAATTCTCAAACTGTGCATCGCACGGGTGAGTTTACTATACTAATAAACACTCAATCACATAATAAATACTTAGATCAGATGGGAATGATTCATATCATATCAAAATCAGAAAAACTCATATTAGATCAGAAAGATTCAAATCAGATCAGAAATATTCATATCGCGGGATCATACAAGATTATCAGACTATATCACAAAAAATCAGGTTAGATTAGACCAGATCTTAAAAATTTTAGATCATAAATATTCATATCCGGTGAATATAACAACTTCTTAATATCAACCATATTAATGTAGTATAATTTTCGGAATAAATACCATATCAATTCAGTTTCCAAAATAATTGTACAACATCAATTTTTTAAATAATGAGACTCTAATACATGTAAAGGACTCTAATCATAAAAAATAATCTTACACATTTGAGTGAGGCTCTAATTAGAGACCAAATTAATAAATAATGAAACTTTAGTTCACGTAACGGGACTCTAATCGCACGACACCAATAATACACGTGAATATCCGAAATAATGAAATTGTAAGCTCCGCATATTCCCAATTTCAATTCAACACTTCTTATAATCATCCTCATCATATAATTAGTCATATAAATAATTAATAACTATTACAATACTAAACACATAAATCACAATATAATCCCAAATTCATACTCCAAAAGGTGATGATTCATCACCCGTATTCAATGGTGGTGGTTAGTTCATACTACCTTCGCCCCTCTTTATTTAGTCATATTTGACTTTTCCAGTCAAAGATGATAAATTTTGATCTATTATTTTAACTAATATATTTATGTGAAACTGAATAAATTTATACTTTTATGAGCAGGAAGTTTTAACAAAAAACATTTTCATATCATTTCCATATTATCATTACTATTGTATATAAATATATAATTGGTCAAAGTTCAACACTATTGACTTAAAAATAGTGTTTGGTTAAATATAAAGCGACTGAGGGAGTTAAAGAAAACAATTATAGCCAAAATTTTGATCATATCTTATGAATAATTCACAATGTTTATCAGTATTTGTCACCTCACCCATTTCAAATTACACAACGGTGTTACACTAGCTGATTTATAATGTATAGCATCTATTTAAATTTTAATTGATTTGGTATCCACGTACAAAGCCTATTAACATGAATATTTTATGTTTTTCCAAAATACTAAAAAATTGAAGGAAAACTGGAAAATATATTTACCCGTTTATTCTCTAAATTTGAAAAACATAAACATGTTTTTTATTTTTTTCTTAACTCTGAGAACTCACTTTTTGGTGTTTCCCAAAATAAAAATACGTAGTACTACACTTCCTCTTGTATTTGTTTCACACTCGAGTATTCGATTGAAACAACTTTTTTTAAAATCAGCATGTTTTTTTGAATTGTATGCAACGGCGTATGTTGAATAATTTTTTTATTAAATTAGGAGAATCAATTCCAGGTATTTAGTGTTTTATAACGAGGTAAGGGTCAATTTGGTCCTCGAAGTTGCATAAAAGGGGTCAAATAAGTCCTTATATTCCCGGTGGAATTTTTTGATGAAATTTTTTGAACATCTTATTCATTAAATCTAGTTTACTCATACCAAAGAGACCAAATGATAATCCACGATCAAAACTTAATAAGTGACATTTTTAATAAGAGACTATATGGTCTTCAAAAAAAGTATTACTAGTGTTTAACTCTAATCCATAATTTTCACGACAAAGTATTACTAGAGTTGTATATTGTTTTTCAAGACCATATAGTCTCTTATGAAAAATGTCACTTATTAAGTTTTGATCGTGGATTATCATTTACGAAAATGTTTTGTCTTATTTCATATGCTATCTAATTACGAGTACTTTGTTTTGTTTGATTCACACATATTAATTGTTTAACGGTGTGAAAAAATATTTGTCATTTTTACGCCTTGGGTTCTATCTGGTTTCAATTTCTCAATGTATATACTTAATTTATGTGTTTGAAAAATGAAATGGAAAACAAAAGAAATTTGGAAAACTTGTGTTTAGATTTGGAAAATGAAGAACTGGAAAATGAAAACAGAAAACAACAACAGAAATATGGAGAAATAAATAAACAAGCCCTAAGTATTCCTTCCCACTTCTCACAGTGGATGAAAAGGGAATGAACACCATCCACCAGGAAACGTACATATTGTTTGGTTTGATTCAACCATCCATCCATCATTCATCATCAGGTTCTTCAGGATGGAGAATTCTTGAGATCCTCAACATCATATTTGACATGTCCCAGGTAAAGGCCAGAGGAGGGAGCCATTGGGCTGGCAGCAGTTACTGTTTTCGCATTGAGGATGCGTTCAACTGACAAACCGGTTCATCATCATCAAATTCATAACAAAAGAAACGCATAAATGCATACATATAGGCTCAATTGTGGCCCCGACTAACATTCAAAATACAGTTTAAACCTTACCATCAGGAACACCAAGATCCCCACTCCCTACTGCTTTAAGAACTCCCACAAGCAGCCTAACCTGTGTACGACATTTATCTCTTCACTAGTCAACACCTCAACTCAACAAAGTATTTATTTATTTTTCGGAATAAGTAAATCTATTTTTCATCAGTGTAACTAGCAGATAATTAATTGAAGGAAAGTATGTCATTTCATCGTGTAAACAATATTGGTTTTACCCTATCAATCTTGTAATTGGACATGATCACTCTCTACATTGACTCATGATATTTTTTCCACCACATCAATCACTATTAACTGGCGACCAATTGGTTGCGGGTTTGAACCTCATTAAGTTGGACTGACTCATGGCCTCTATGGTTGAGCCGGGTGGCCGGAAACCGAAACTGGCTTTGGTTGCCTGTCAGTGATCATACGTTGACTAGGGCACACAAGATGCCCCCTTCAGGTAATGGCGGCAGTTCGAGCATCATCACAAGCCTTGTGACAAGAAGTCCATCCGTCATAAAAGTTGGTCACAGTTTGTTTCATGAACTTAGTGTTCATTCATATTAGGCAACTAGATGCATAAATTCCATGACACTCTGACATAGACCCCAACATAGTAGTTAAGTACTACTCCCCAATCAATTATCCATAATGTTATTAACTGCAAAATGTCCCCTTCCCATGTATTTAAAAGTTGTGCACTAGCTCTAACCATTTTCCTTTTTCATTTTGTTTAGTAAATGAATTACATAAGACCAACCTGATGATAAAGAAAAGACCGTGCCCTTGCAGTGACAAGTAAGCAACGATGCCTTCTTCTAACCCCAAACTCATTTCTGCCTTCAAGGGTTTTTGCATTCAAGGTCTCGGGCAGGCCAGACATAACAGCGTCACTTGGATACATTTCTAAAATTGACGGGAAATAGGGAGTTGATGCCACCTCAGTAACACTTAATTCATCCAGAGATCTGATGGGTGATTTTGCCTGTAAATTTTGAAGAAATAGTAGCAAGCACAGAAAGGTAGTATCTTCACCAACAGGAAAGCACTCATAAAAAAAACAAAAAGGGCTATCAAGACTCAATGGTTATAGTTAATAGCACACTATGAAAGAAAGTGTATAATGAATAAGATCTGCTTATCATCCTACCTGATCACCCACAAAAAATAAAAATGAAACCAGACAGGTTAAAAGGAATGAAAGTATAAATAACAAGATAAATGCCATAAATTATTTGGGAAAAGAGAATAAGCAAGATTGAGCCTTTGAAATTTCTAGAATAACGAAAAAAACACTCGGAGCAGATTTTATGAATATACTAACCTGACATGCAGCAGCTCTAAAGGAACTGAAATCATGATGTCCAACAAGAATTCTGCACGCTTGCTGAAGAAAACAGGACATGAAAAAACTAAACTCAGAGTGTTAACATGATATCAAAATGTCCTTTCATGAAATATTTTTATCAACCTGCATGGCGAGAAGATCTAATTCCTCAGGTACATGCCAAGCCCGGTCTTTTTCGAAGGTTGACAAAGGCTCAGGTCCACATAATATCCTATAAAAGTACCTAAGGAGATTCTCAAGAATTAGTAAAAATGTGAATACTAAAAAGCAATCAACAGCATCATTCTTCAAAATCTGAGAAAAGACGAAACCCCAAACGTCGATTATCACCAAGGAAACCAAAAGAAACTGGGAAAGAAGATCAGCTTACTAAAAAGTGAAAATCTGTACTCAAAAAAATCTATACTAGACTATAAAAAAAATTAACACAGGACTTCAATGGCAATTAATCTGACAACCTAAAGACAAAACGAAGATCATGACATGCCATGACTTCGAATGGGAAATATGGATTAAAGAACTATTAAGAAAATATAATATTAGGCACTACGTATTTGTGATTTATTGGGTTTGAGTCTAGTATAGTAGTGTATAAGTGTGAAATAAACCTCAGTACAGTACTTTTGGGATGGTTTAGAAATTGTTATGCTCATCTTATTCTTATTGATTATTCTTATTTTATTCAAATCAGAAAAATTCAGACCAGATCAGAAAAAACAGATTACATCAGAAAGATTCAAATCAGATCACAAACATTTAGATAAGAACAGAAACACTCAAATCAGATCAGAAAAGTTCAGACATGGTTTATTACTTATATTATTATCATTTTTAATATTATTATTAGCATTATTATATATATTTTTAGCATTATTATTACTATTATTACCATTATTATAATTATTACCATTAATGCTATTATTATTAATATTATATTTATTGTTCTTGTTATTATTGTTATTTATTACTCCCTCTGTCCCACTGACAGTGGGACAAGAGAGAGTGACACACAAACCAATAAAAAGTGGTTTATGTGGTTGATATTGAATACATAAAATAAGAATAAAGTAAGAATGATTTAGAGCCACACAAACTTTACCAAATTTGGTATGGGACGAACCGAAAAGGCAAAATGGGACAATCTTAGCGGGACAGAGAGAGTATTATTCTTGTTATTTGTATGTTATTATAAATATAAAAGCACAGTTCTTGCTATAAATATTTTGAGGAATAATAATGTTATTACACTATATTAACATCATTATTATTAGTATGTTATTGTTGTAGGTTGTTTCCATAATAGTTAATTATGTATTTTTATTATTATTGTTATTATCATTATTTGTATATAATTATTAATTAGCAAAACATCACATGTTGATGCTATGGTTATTACTTATTATCAATAATAATATTATTACTACATCATATTATTATTATTGATGTATTGTTATTGTTATTAATATTTGCATGATACTCTTATTATATAAATGTAGGTTGTTGATATTTATAATTTAATAATAAGTAATACTAAGTACTAAAATGGCATTGGTAACGCTTATAATAACGATAATCGTAATTATACAACATTAGTGCATTTCATTTCATTTAACTGCATTTCATTAGAAATTTTACACTATTCGCGTGCTCTAGTTTGACTGCATTTCATTTACTACTGCATTGAAATTTTACTTTTAAAAAATATAATTAAATTATTCTCATTTTAAATATTCAGAAGGTAAATTTTTTTACAAATAAGGAATTAAATATATTAGTGATCAAAGTTGTGCATTGACAAACATGAAAATGGAAGTGTTGCAACTAAAAAAGAACGGAGGAAGTATGTAATTGTAATTATAATTATAGTTATATATGTAGTTGTAATTATAATCACAACTAATTATAATAATAATTTAATAATAATAAGGATTCAATCAGATTAGATAAGATCATTTTAGAGGGATTCAAATCAAATCATAAAAATCATATCGGTAAGATACAGATCAGGTCAGAAACATTCAGATAAAGGTAAACCGGATCTTAAAAAAATTAGATCAGAAACATTCAAATCAGGCGAACAGAACAACTTCTTAGGCTCCATTCAACATGTTATCACACCTTTGAGGACAATTTGAATAAATTTCCCTATAGAGTAAAAACAAGTTAGTTTCCTTACATAGAAATACTATATTTTTTCAAAATAGGAGTAAGTACTGTTATACTGAATGATACTGCCTCATGGGTTATAGAACTCAGGGGTAGTAAGAGAAAAGTGAGATCAAATGTAGAGAGGGAAAGATGTGTAATAAATTTGGCAAAATAACAATACATGAATTTCGGTCACTTTTCCAAAGGGGAAGGCTGCTATTTATAGACAAAATACAAGGGCCGGATATAAAACCCAAAGAAGCTAAGCTGGTCAGGGAGCTACAAGTGTCCCGGCAATAATTGGAGAACAAATATAGTGATGATATAAGCCCTTCTAGAAACTAGGCCTGTGGCGTCAGGCGTCAGCAGAAGCCTAAGTGAAGCAAGTCCTCGATATACGCCTTGCTAGAATGCCCGGGAAATGGCTAAGTGTCAAACTATCACCGAAACGAGGTGGGTCAGACCCCCTAGGCCTCTTCCACTATCATCAGCGTGATATCTACAAGAGTTGTCACTCAGCTCGGCCTCGCTGGAGCAGCTCAGTTCGGAGCGAACGGGCCTGCCAACTCGGAGCTAGGCTGGTGGCGAGATCTTCGGCCTCGACGCAGGACCTCGACTCAGCAGATACATGACTTGGGCTACTATCTTGAACCATCTAATCTGGACCCTTGGGGTATATGACAATATATTCCATCACTGTTATAATATGACATTAGTTTCAAGATGTCAAAACTTCACTCCTATTTAGACAAAACACATGGTACTCTTATTTAGGTAAAGAAATTGTGGTACTCTTATTGAGAGAAACGCGATGTTTTTACTACTATTTTGGGAAATTTTACGATGATTTATGGGGTGCCACCCACTTGATAGTTAGGGGTGGACCATTTGGAGTTTGGTTTGGGCTCATTCTTCCACCCTCCGCTGCCCACCCGGATGACAGGTTGTATTAAGTATCTTGAATCGGTTATCTAATTGGTTTTTCGGTTGAGTTAAATAAGCTTAACATATACATTAATCATCATCATCATTACCCGGTGCTTAACGTATACATCGACTATACAAAATTGCAAATAGGTGCAACCATATGGTGACAGCAGCAAGTCAGATTATTGAGACGTACGTTCGTTCCTGAGCTTTATATCTAGCATGAAAATCAGCTGCAACACTGCAAACATCAATGATAGTTACATCGCCCTCATTTTTCTGCAACAAAACAATGAAGGAAAAATGTTAGACTGTTGCTAGCAGCCTATCAACCTGCAGTGTGCAATATAGGGAGATGTGAAGCTTTTTAGCAAGAAATTTTAAAACAATGGATTTTGATCAAGTTTCAAGCTAGCTTAACCCATTCTCTCATTCAATGAGTAAGCAAAAGAATATTGGGATCTTGTCCTATGAAAAGTAGGAGGCAGGTAGTCATGGTATAATACGAATGCTTTAATTAAACTAGACAGACCTGTAAAAAGTGGTTCACGGCTCTTTTAACCACTTCAGGTTCGTGGGGTGGTAACTGCATGCAAATAAAGGTATCCATCATTCATCATTTCATCATTTTCATTTACCCCAGTGCCGCAATGGCTCCCACCTACGGTGGGGTAAGGGGGGGTCGGATGTACGCAGTCTTACCCCTATACTAAAGCACAGAGAGACTGTTTTCGGATAACCCATAGTGAAAATCGCGTCCAAAATTGCATGGAGTGACTGCTGCTTCATAACAAAGAAGCGCAGACAGTTTAGTGAGCCATTTTGCTTTATTCCATCATAATCTCAAGCCAAAAAATAATGAATCTTTGGCTCCATTGCAAATGATGGAAAAAATAAAGGTATCCATATATATAAAAATATGCACACATTAACCACACATCTCATAATTCTGCATGTGTTGCAGTCAGTTAATAAAGCTCAAAGTCAAGTTTGGAAAGTCTACTGTTCAGTTCCGAAGAAAGAGTCTGTGTAGGCAAATAGTGACTATAGTGAGGGAAACGAAGAAAAAGTCTCAAGTCAGGAAAAATGTGATACCTACCAAAATAGGTAAGCCATATCGTGAAAATTAAGGAGTAGATTTATGGAGCCTCATATGGCTCCATAAGGGAGTCATATTTTAAGTGGGGCCCTCCACTAAAAATATGAGTGGTGGTGATGGTGCCACAATACACCATATGGCTTCATAAGGGAGTCATATGGGGCTCTTTAAATTTTTTGATGAATTAAGTGATTGGAGTGAACATTGTATTTTAATTCCACTTTATCAGTTGATATGAAAAGGTTTTTCAGAAAGAAAAAAAATAATTGAGACAAATTTTATGATTAATTTAGTATGAGATCACTCAATTCCTACTAATAAATGACAATATTACATTATCTTTCATGGTAAATATAGAATAATTGACTTTTCAGAGGATGCATTTGCAAATTTGGGAAACCTGAACAGTCACTTAGTAATATGATTTTTGGAAAAAACGTCAAGGGAGGCAGATGTAATTAACATATCACAAGAAATCAGAAAATGTTTTGTCATAGGCTCGACCATGGAATTTCAGCGGTGAACGGTGACATTTATTTTATTGATCTATATGCTGTTATTTTCTAATTCAGACCAGAAGTGAAGATAAACTAGTAAAACTTTATCGATGCTCCTTTCCCTCCAAAATTCCCTAACTAAACAAATCTGTAAGAGACCTTTACAAATGCAAAAGGTGGGAAGCAACTTGTAGTGAATTAAAAAACCATACCACTTTGTCAGGTTTTCGTTTGCTTATCCTTTCAACATCTACATGACAAACATTCGATAGTGCATGTACTCCTGCATCCTACAACCCATTGTTTGGAGAAAGTTAGAAAAAGGAGAGCATTCAACTTTTAGTCCTTCAGCTATTAACTGCTCCATTTGTGATTATCTAGTTTTGTTCTTAGTGTTTAAAGGGAAATTGCCCTAAAGAGGAGTGAACCGGTTTTGGAATTCCAAAATAGGAGCTTCGGCGGCGCTTTTTCGCCTTCTCTTCGCTCTGGACACGGGGAGGGAGCAGGCGACGAAGCGTGTCGTTCGTAATGGAAAGAAAGAGACCACTACTTCGCCTCTTTGTTGGACCGCCAGCGCGAACACAGTGGTCTCTGACCAGGACCAGGAACCAATTCTAATTTGGATCTTGACATGTCGGTGGTTTTTAACCGTAGGCATTTTGCCAGGAAGTTGGTGTTTTTCTTCCTGAAATATTTGTAATGGTTCTTATCAGCAGAATAGATAATAATGAAGCTTACAGTCCGGCTTGAGCAAAATATTGATACCGGCTGTCCAATAAATTTTTTGAACGCTTCCTGTGTCAAAGAGGAAATAAGGTGAGAACAACCAGACATTAATTACGGTTCTGTAAAAAAATAGTCTTTGTACATATAAGGATGATTAGAGTTTGATGAAGTTATCATTTTCATGCATTTCCCGTTGTGTGAGAAGAAATGTTCAAAATCTGGCAGAGAAGTGGAAGGCTTCACTTTGGGACGGAAGATAAAATTACCTCCAGAACACCTACGACGGTCCGGCAATTGGATTGTTGCTGAGCGCCGGCGAATCGAGTTCCAATATACTCAATTGCTATCAAGTATCTTTGAAGTCTAGGGTTCGGGTTCATTTGCTTTTTACTCATACTTGAGGCACTCTGATCTGCCTCTTCGACGTAGCTGTCGGCAATGTCGTCGTTGACTTTGAGGATTTTCGAAGGCCGTCGTGGGGATTCAGGTCGTTGCTCAAGCGAATGTTTTGATGTCTCCGAGCCAACGGCTGTAATTTTTCGCCCGTCATCGGCGAATTTTGGCCGTCCCACTACACTCATTTTTTGCAGAAAAATTATTCTTTATACTCCTCGGAAAATTTTGTTTGTGGGATGCACTGCTTAATAATCAAGTAGTGATAAATGGAAAATGTGGTTTATGCACGTCAAATTGTATAGATATTTAATTAATACGCTAAATTGGGAGTATATGCCATTTAATATGTCGGTCAAAATGTCAAATCTTTTTTTCATTTTGTGAAGATAATGATTTTTCGCATAAACGAAAAATGTGTCTTGTTACACACAAAACAAATTGTGTGTACAACAAATGATTCTTTTCACAACAATCATTTTTTGGTACTGTTTAGGGTGGCCCAGTTTTTTGGGGCTCGTAACTGGCCTAGTGCCCAGACCAGTGGTTATAAGGGGCGGGCTTCGGGCTCAGTTTTTGGACCCGGTCCGGGCCCAACTGCATTTTAAAACAATAACTAAATGGGTGGTACCGGCCCAGATCGGAACTAGCCCCGGAGCATACTCGGGACAGTACCGAGCTTCAATTTTCTGGTACCGGTATCGTCCAGGCGTGACCCGGGTCCATCTCTACTCCCTGCCCCGAGACATTTAGGCGTCTTGCGAATGGGGCAGGTCTGTCCCACTCCGCCCACACAATGAGGTGGGTCAACATTAAAAAAATATACTGCAAATATACATACATATGTGTGTATATTATAAATCATAAATTATTTGGTATTATAATATATTAATTTTTATATTTGAAGGAGATGAACAGTGAATTGTCAATGTCTTTTTATATGTAGTATATAGCATTTTATATAAAACGCACTAATGCACGAACAGATCAAAATAATAATAAGAATAATATGGTGTCTCATCTCAACGATGAAACATTTAGACACACTGTGTAATTTAGAACCCAAACGACGATGACGACGATCTCCCCTACGGCGGCGCAGCCGCCAACTTCTACGCAAACGCATCCTCCGAACGCTTGGGTTGGCAGATCATTCGTTGATGTTGTTGCCAATCGTTCAACAAATAATCTTTTCGCTAAAGAACCTATGAGATTCAAAGGGATGTCGGCTATCAGTTTCCCTGATAGTGATATTCAAATCCTTGCGAAAAGGCATAAACACTCGTTGATTGGTTATTTCTATCGAGGAAGACCGAGTTTGGACTTGCTACGGAAATCATTGGAGAAGATTGGGTTCAAGGGGGCTTTTCAACTTGGTGTTTTGGAAAGAAAACATTTTTTTATCCGTTTTGATCAGGCAAATGATTACTTCCGTTATTGGAATAGACAATCTTGGATGATCCATGGGCGTATCATGACAGTCACCAAATGGTCTCCATCTTTTCGTCCAAATGTGGAATCCCCGGTGGTTCTGGTTTGGGTTGCATTTGAAGGATTGTCGATTCACCTTCATGATCAATGTGTGTTGTTTGATATTATTGGGCTTCTTGGTAAGCCATCGTTGATCGTTTCTAGTAACAATTAATGTCGAAGCGTTAACTAATTGTACATTAATATAGAAATGCGATTAAGGGAAGAATTAATATTCAAGAAGAGAAGTTAAAAAATAACTCACAACTTTAATAATCAACAAGCTTCAAGAGCAAAACCAAGAAATGGAAGTTTAGCTTCTCATTTTGAGACTAAACATGCTAAAAATATATAAAGTAAAACTATTCTAAACTGAGCTTAAGAGTATGGAAGAAGGAATGGGAATTAGTGAAGAAAAAGTGTACTATTTAGAGGCGTTTTTCAACACCTTTGGTTGGGTACCCAACCGGGTATATAGCTTACCCGACCGGGTACCGGTCAAAATCAGATCATTCTCCACGTTCATGTGTTTCAGCACACCGGATTGTCCCCGGTCACTTCCCACCCGACCACGTGAGGTATTCCATCCGACCGGGTAATGCAATTTCCGTGAAGCTGCAGCTGTTAAGTCTTGCCCGACCGGGTAAAGACCTCTACCCGGCCGGGTATATTCCCTGGGCAGTTTTTTTCATGTTTTTCCTCTTTTCCACTACCAACAACTCTACCACTACTTTACAACTTACAGATAAGAGCTAAAAACAACTACAAATAAAATTAAACAAATGTTTACAAACTAAATAATAATGGTAAACAATCCACACAAATCAAACATAAAAACATACATTTATGCACTATTGACTAGTACATATCAATATTGTTGGGCTTCTTGGTAAGCCATTGAAAATCGACTCTGTCACATCCAATCTGGCTAGGCCGTCAATTGCTAGAATTTGTGTTGACATTGACTTAACAGAGGAAATGCCTCAAAAAATTGGATCAATTGTGGAAGTTTTGGTTTTTCGCAAAATGTTATCCATGAACACATGCCTTTTTATCGTTCTCACTGCCTACATCTAGGTCATTTGGATAAAAACTGCCCTAAACGCAATTCGGATAATCCAAAGGTAGCTTATGTACCTAAGGATCAAGGGACTGCTAGGCCTACTAGCAACATGGGAAATCATGTTCAGGGTGTCAAGTTCACGGCAAAAGAAAAGGCAAAGGAGAAAGTTCAAGAGGTTATTATTACAGATCATCCAACTACTTCTAAAGAAACGAATATAACAATTGTGGAGAACATTTTGGAGGAGCCACCGATTAAGCACAGAGTTTGGGCTAGATGGACCTTCTCATCAAGACTCTAGATTAGATCCTGCACACATACAAGTTGTTGATTCAGGAGGTTTAAAAGTTGCTGGAGGCTGAAATTCTAGAAGTTCACCATTCTAAGAATATTTCTTCTATTAAAGATGATATTGGGCTTATGCCTCTTCTTGAGCAAATGGAGGTTGACCCAGAACTATCTGTTAAGGAATATGACTCTGAGGGTGAGAAATCCAAGGAGAGACAACCACTGCTCAACTCGAGTAAAGTTTGGCCTGATATATCAGCAAAAGTTGATATCACAGTTCATAACATGGAGAAAAACAACACAATTTTCCACTTGTGGAAGATGCTCAGGATGTTGAGGCAGAATCGGTTGCTATTGGTGCAAATGCAACTGAGGTTACAAATTCAGTGATACCTAGGGAAGGTGTGCAATGAGAATCAAAATCAGAAGGGCTTGGTGAAAGTGCAACTCAAGAGGGAGAATCAGCAAGCTCGTTTGCTTAAGTGGAAACTGCAAATCAAGAAGCTGAATTAATTGATGATGGTTTTACTAAAGTGACTAATAAGAAATCCAAGAAAAGAAGTGAAACTGAAGTCCCAGATAGGGTCACAAGAAATGCAGTTAAGAAAAAAGATCTCACAGAATCCTTTAATTCTGTGTCACACACTTCTAATAATTTCTTAATGAATTGTCTATTATGCAATGTTAGAGCCCTGGAGTCTGCTTGCTCTCGGCTTTGTTCCCTAATTAGATACTAGAAAATTCATATTTTGTTTGTTTTAGAGCCTATTATTGATATTACCAGGGCTAATCACTTTATGTTTGAACTTGGGTTTCATAAAGTAGTGATGGATAGTCTACCCGGGGGGTAGCTTATCCGAGGGGTTATTACGGGGAATAACAGGAGAGAAGTCAGAGCAAATGAGTATAGAGAGAGAAAGTATATTAGGAAGTATTCAGTGTTTTCAGCGTGTTGTGTCTTGTGACTTGGTTACAAATGGGGAAATGGGGTGCTATTTATAGTAGTAATAAATGCCAGACAGGGACACGTGTCAAGCACCCATTGGCCGGGGGGTCACCTCAACTGGTTGGCACTGGCAACCGCATGTGGGCGCATTTAATGCGGCTGTTGGATGTGACGTCGTACTGGGTACGGTGATCTATACGCATGTGGAGCGGATATTATGTCGGAAAAAGTGCCCTCGGCCGTAGAGGACCAGTCGAGGGCTTCGAGTACCGGGGGCCTCCTTAGTGCCGAGGGCTCTAGGTGCCGAGGGCTACTGATTTTCGCCGTTTTCTCCCAGTAACCTTGTTTTCCTGGTTTGACCCTCCTATGAGAATTAGAGCCTTCGGCCAGGGGGCCGAAGGCACCCCTGGTGCGCATTGTGGGCTGCTTGGTACTCTGGGCGCTGTGATTTGGGCCTGTTGTGCTTTCTGGGCCTGTTGGGCCTTCATTGGAGTAGTAGGAGTGTGTGGGTCGGGGGTTCCCGGGCCATATACTCCATCAGGAGTCCCTCACTCCTTTTGCCGAAAGGTACTTGAGGGAAAAGGAGTAATTGTGTTTATCCTCTGTCGTTGTTCCGTTTGTAGTTTGTAGTTTGTGGGTAGTTTGCTGTTTGTTTATTCTGTCGAGGGCAGTCCCTCAGTTACCCACATGTCGGGACTTGAGGAGTCATGTTTGTGATTTTTGTGATTTTTCCCGAGGGGGTTCTCCAGTCCCCCACTCCTTGAGGCACTTGCAAAGTGGTGAAAAGGAGTAGAGTAATCACGTTGCTGTATTAGGCCGAAGGCTGACGCTTTTCGTTTCATTTTGGGGGGATGCCTCGTTAAAAACCTCATTAGGAAAAACCCTGTGGGAAAAAATCCTAATGAGGGAAAAAGAGTGCACCGAATTCCCCCAATGATGAATCGAAAACGTGAAGCCCTGGCTCGAAATGGAGTACAATGCTGATGCCGAAGGCTATCCTTGTTCTGAGGGCGCATGTGTCGATTAGCCGGAGGCGTGCTGTTGATATCCTTGGAGATGCCGAAGGGGAGTCCCTCAATCTGGGGATCGATGGCGTGATGAATGTGAGTAGTAGTTGAAGTGTTACCGGGGTGTCCCCTGTTTGTTGATTAATTGGTGAGGAGTGTATCCGAGGGCTCCTGTTACCTGTGTGTCGTAGGCTATCTGTCAATGAGGCGTACTCCCCGGGGGCTACTCGGCCCTTAAAGTGCTGAGGGGGATCCCCGAGGGGTGCGCCTGTTTATGAAGCCGCGGGCTTCTGAAGGAGTGAGCCCGAAGGCATTTGTTACGTAGTGTGAGGGGCACAAATCGGGAGCGTCTCTGGGTAAGTGTACCCGGGGGCTCTTCTTGATGAAGCGTAGTGAAGCAAAAAGCCCGGGGGCTAGTTTCTTGGTTGATGAAGGAGTGGTCTGCTACGTGTAGCCGGGAGCTCCCAGAATATAGTCGTTGGGAATATAGCCGTTGGAATACCTAACGTCAAAATATAGCCGTT